GAGAAGGAGGGGGGTGAGAAAGCACCAATATATTACTAAAATGGTGAAAATTTGAAGAACAGTATTTCTTACTTCAAAAACTATCAAAATCAAAGTATTTAACTACGGGTCAGTTCGACCCAGCTTGAAACTTAGCATTTAAAAAAAGTCTCGGGCACCGAGGGTCTAACTTTAAAATGCTCTCGACTGGTTAAAATTCGGAATCTTTCGGAATTGTTTGCGTCGTGAGATGCAAAATTCATTCACCGCAAGAAAAGCTACGGGCTATATTGGCATACCCTATGCTAGAGTGCTGGAGTGCTTGAGCCGTAGTTTAGATTCCTCCGGGTGCTACGCCCGGAACTTTCGGTCTCTGAGCCCGTAAGTGCGGTTTCCATGGCCGGAGTTCTTTTTCAGCGTTCCTCTTAGCTGTGGCACATAGCTATCTCATTTTATTTTTTCAACCTCGCTGCCGAACTCCATCTCACGATAGGCAGCATCCATAGCATCTAGAAAAATTGAGATTCTCAATATCTTAGAATTTGATCGCAGTTGGCATCAAGGGGTAAACCATTAAGAAGGACGCGAGAAGGGTGGAGGTTTTGGGGCAGGGAAACGCTGTCGATGTTGGATGGGTCCGCCGCCACTGGAATGAGTGAATTCGGTTGAGTTCAAGTTGAGTGGCTCAATATCAATTGCAGGCTGTCCTCTGATAAACGATGGCCTATCGATTCCCACGGCTTCCCAGGCCTCCTGGCGCCCGGATTAAGAAGTTATGCAGCACGCACAACGCGACCACCCTCAACGTTGCCGCCCTTTCGAACAGAATCCACCACGCTTTCACCAGACTTGAATGAGTGAATGGTGAGATCTAATACGGATAAAAAAATGAGTTTTTCGCGGAGACCACTCCTTGAAATGTTTCTCTTCTTCTTTTTCTTATTCTTTCTTTTCTATTTCTTCTTCTCCTTATTTCTTCTTTTTATTCTCATATTTCTTCTCTTTTTTCTTCTTTTTCTTCCTCTTGTTCTTCCTCTTGTTCTTCTTCTTTTTCTTCTTCTCCTTTTTTCCTCTTCTCTTTTTTTCTTCAGCTTTATCCTCTTCTCATTTTTAATCGCCTGTGTGAAGATTACGCAAGAACTTTGAAAATTAAAGAAGTTTTCTTATATGAACTTTGGCCTTTCAGGTCATTCCCACCTGGAAATTCGCGACTTTGGGGGTCACGACCCCCCCCCCTCAAAAATTTGCCTACTTATACTTGCGGAAGCTCGTCCAAACCGTATGTTATAATATCTGCGACCGTTCGCAAGGAGTTGAGATATTAAAGAATATCAATACTTTTGACGTATGTACCCGTACCCTGTTTGTGTGAGTTTTGAATAGATAGCACGTTTGTTGCTTATACGGCTGAATTGAAGGCAAATTGTAGGAAAAGTGTCTTCTGGCATGAAATTCATATCAAAACTTGAGATGTTGAAAACTGCCCTCAGGTTTACTTTAGTGAAAGAAAACCAGCTGTCTTTGATGCGCAATCTTCTTAGAAAATTCTTCAAAAGTCTTATTCCTTGGTTTTCCATAAAATCTAAAGGCCTAGATACGCAGAGGCCCGCCACAAGGGGGGGGGGGATACTGGGTCCCTGGTACCGGGGCCCGTGTTACCCGTGAAAAACCACTACGAAAACACATGCAACCCTTGTTTCGTAAGAAAAAGTGAAAAATTTACCCTAAAAATTTCGCAAAAGGTGAATAGATTTACAAAAACACGCTGGGACACTGTAGAATTCTTCTTAAATTTTCAAAGAAGTAAACTTTTTGGAAAATTTCTATCTATTTTCAAGATTTTCAGTACAGAGGGATATTTTTAGTAACTGCGTTTCATTTTCTTCCGTCGTCAGATGCTAAGAGTCTCCAGTATAGGCATCCTCGACTTCAATGGCTCATGGCTCAACTCCCTTGCCATAGACAAACGAAGGGGGAATCCGGGGGGGGGGGCTGGCCCTCATAGAACTGAAAATAGTATCATATGCCCCCCCCAAAAAATAAAATAAAAATATTGCAGTATTTTGAATGCAACAATTCGCAAGTATTTAGTGCTGAAAGTAAAAAAAAAAAATAAATAATTATTCCACAGAAATTGATGGCAAAATTCTTTATGGAAGCTTCAAAATGCGTCCGATTAGTCGTATAAATTCTAAAATTTCCCGGGGGATGCCCTCGGACCCCCCCCCTCCGTGCTTGGGGCCCGGAACTTATAACTGGTACCAGGGCTCGAGATGGGATGTGGCGAGCCTGCATGAAGGCTATTTCCATTTAAATCTTCCGTCGCACATTCATACAGCGCAATGGTACAACTATTTGAACTTTCCGGAATGCGTGAGGTATCGCGCCGCATTTGAAGGCGTTTTCAAAACAGCCAAGTTCCGATACCCGGATTATCGTTTTGCATAGTTCATATTCTTTTCTTATATTCCGTACCACTCGTTTATTTATAATCCTCGTAGAAAAACCACCCATTTCCTAAATACAATTCTAGCTGGAGTGCACTTCAGCTATGCATTCACCACAGAAAAATGTTGAAAGGAAATCGACACGCCCAGCGTGCATGCAGGCTATTTCCATTTCAATCCTCCGTCACAATCTTACGGCGCAATGATACAACTATTTGAACTCTCCGGCATGCGTGAGGTATCACGCCGCATTTGAAGGCGTTTTCAAAACAGCCATGTTCCGTTATCGGAATAATCGTTTTGCATAGTTGATATTATTTTTTTTCCATTTCTAACCACTCGTTTAATTATAATCCTCGTAGAAAAACCACCCATTTGTTAAATACAATTCTAGCTGAAGCGCACTTAAGCGCATTCATGACTGAAAAAATATTAACGGAAATCGAAAAGGCCAGCGTGCATGAAGGCTATTTCCATTGTAATCTTCCGTCGCGATTCTAAGGCGCAATGATACAACTATTTGAACTCTCCGGAATGTGTGAGGTATCATGCCGCATTTGAAGGCGTTTTCAAATCAGCCAAGTTCCGATACCCGGATTATCGTTTTGCATAGTTCATATTCTTTTGTTATATTCCGTACCACTCGTTTATTTTTAATCCTCGTAGAAAAACCACCCATTTGCTATATACAATTCTAGCTGTAGCGCACTTCAGTTACGCATTCACCACTGCAAAAATGTCGGAGGAAATCGACAGGCCCAGCGTGCACGAAGGCAGGCCCGCCACAAGGGGGGAATACTGGGTCCCTGGTACCGGGGCCTGGGCCCCGGAGGGGGCCCGTGTTACCCGTGAAAAAGCACTACGAATTCACATGCAACCCTTGTGTCGTAAGAAAAAGTGAAAAATTTACCCTAAAAATTTCGCAAAAGGTGAATAGATTTACAGAAACACGCTGGGACACTGTAGAATTCTTCTTAAATTTTCAAAGAAGTATACTTCTTGGAAAATTTCTATCTATTTTCAAGATTTTCAGTACGGAGGGATATTTTTAGTAACTGCGTTTCATTTTCTTCCGTCGTCAGATGCTGAGTCTCCAGTATGGGCATCCTCGACTTCAATGGCTCATGGCTCAACTCCCTTGCCATAGATAAACGAAGGGAGAGTCCAAGGAGGCCTTTTCCTCTTAGAACTGAAAATAGTATCATATGCCCCCCCAAAAAAAATAAAAATTTTCCAGATGTTTTGAATGCAACAATTCGCAAGTATCCTGTGCTGAAAGTAGAAAAAAAAACATAATTATTCCGCAGAGATTGATGGAAAAATTCTTTATGGAAGCTTCACAATGCGTCCTATTAGTCGTATAAATTCTAAAATTTTTCGGGGGATGCCCTTCGGACCCCCCCCCCCTCCGTGCTTGGGGCCCGGACCTTAAAACTGGTACCAGGGCCCGAGGTGGGATGTGGCGGGCCTGGATACGCACGGCAATTATTCGCCGCAAATGAAAGACGAAAGCCAATGGAGAGCCTTGATTTCGATACATTGACGTCGATATATCGAAATCAAGGCTCTCCATTAGCTTTCGTCTTTCACTTGCGACGATTAATCGCCGTATGTATCTAGGCCTTAAAGCAAAAGGCTAGAATCAGGATTAGGTATCTTCCCGGTTACAACGTCGATTATTTTCTGCAGAGTAAAGCTAGGCAAAAGTAGCTGCATAAAGAAAGAAGAATGTTTTTCGGGGGAGAATATTTCTGAAAACCTATCAACATTCTCAAAAAAATTGTTTAAAAGCGTTGAATTTTGAAAAGTCTTCCCTTGAGGAAAACTACACCCGGGAGATAGCAGCCTCCCAGCATCGCTGATTCATTCTTCGTCCCAGACCTTAATTAATTTTTCAGTGATTCGCACATGGCACCGTTTCGCGATCGCGTGACCAAAAACACAGAGTAAGCTAGAATTCTACCTATCTATTTTAAAAGGAACTATGTGCATGGGGTATGCGCGCATCATGGTTCCTTTTAGCATTAATACGTCCGATTGAACAGTACATTCTTGTACCACGCAAACACCAAAATCTGATGATCAGCGGCTTCCTGGCGAGCAGTGAAACTCGCAGCTAGGAGAATTTTGACGCTTGCGAGCATTTGAAATTAAACTTGAGCTATGCTTGTAGGCCTGATGTCAACTCATGATGTCGTGCCCATTCATGTCTTTTCGCGGAAAACATCGTATGAACATTCGGACGTTGCCAAATTAATGCTTCCAAAATTTGATTTGACTTATCCTCAGCATGTAATAGAGTGTAGAATCGAATATTATCTAATATTTTCAACAGTGTGTCTGGGGACCAAATCAATTCGCAATCTGATGAGGTAGATACCGCTGAAAATTCCAAAGAAAAATACTCATATTACAGCCTCTTGAATTTACATAATTTTATGGGACAAAGTTGACAACATTCGAGTGTTCAAACGGCGTTCTTTTTGAAAACGTGGCAGCCAATTTTCTTGCAATCCGCTTTGCGTCAGCTCCGAACAGCTCTCTATGCATCAATATGAGATTAAGCCTTTTCTGACGCATCCTCGAAATTGACACGGATGATGAGGAAATGCGATGAGCATTTTAAAAGAGCTTTAAAGTTAGTTCAGTGCAGAGCCTGTGCTCAAACCGTGCGGAGAGACTTTAACAATTACGTCATAGCATGGAGCTAACCAGGTAAATCAAATCAGTTCAGCAGTGAAATTGAACTGCCCGTTATGAATCATCATATTTTCCTCGCGATTCCATGTTTTCGTTGATACTGGCACGACACATGTAAAACACATTTCTATAAGTCACTCTATTAAAAATGATCAGGTGACCACTCCATTGCCTGGACACCATTTGATTGGTGCTTGTAGTTTCATATGATTATAAAATGCACGACTGAAGTTTATGAAAGGCAACCGATATGAATAGATATCCTTCTATTGATAGAATTAAGTAAAAAGGCCCCTCCAGTATTTAATGATTTAAAAATCAATTTTGATGAACAATTTTACAAGTTTCAAAACGAATTATAGGTTTTTTGGCTTTCATCTTCGATGCGATTGTTGCCACGTACATGAATATGGTTCATTCAAGGTAATAAAAAAAATGCGGGCGTCTCCTATGGGTGAGAACAAAATCATTCCAGTAAAACAGAAATTGCGCATAGTGTCACATACTTGTTATTATTTCGTGATGTTAGTTATCGTTTTCAAAAAGCTCGTATAGTTCAATAAGTAAACCTTGTATGGTTCATCCTAAGAGTTTCCCTCAAAGATACGCCAGAATCACAATGAAGAACGAGGACGAACTTATCCAAAATAACAGAAAGCGGAGGAAGTGGAAAGAAGGATGGAGGGGTAAGTCCCCCTTCCCCTTACGACATTTTGATACCACTATTTTAGCTTGCACGAACCCAGTATTACCCACCATCTTAAATTAAGGAGAATCTATGGATACTGGGTATTCAATGAACATTATTTGGATTGAATAGTGCGGTAATCGAACCTTCTCTATTATGGCCTTTTAGAAAACATCTACCTGCTTATGAAAATACATAGATGGTAAATTTGGTATTTTTGAAATTAGTCGAAAAATAAGGGTTTTTTTTATGAATGCAGCCCGTAGGTTCGGGAAAAAAGAAGAGCCTTTTGGGATTAACATCGATCAGCAAGGCTTAAAAGGCTTTAAATTCTGAAATCTTTTATCAAAACTTCTATTACAAAAAAAGGTAAATTTTTAGATTTCCTATCTTCTGTGAGTTTTCCTCATTTTTTTTTAAAAAAAAAAAGCGTTACTCTCAACAATTTCAGTGGCTAGATTGACGAAAAAGGTTGACTCAGTTTCAGGCGTTAAGAATTCTGCCCACGATGAAATACTGAAGTATAGGTAGATTTCTTTTATATGCTCACGTTAGATTACTGCCTCGCTTACAGAATACAGGTGTTGGTGTTTTTGTGTGTTTCGTGGGAATTGTGGGAGCTCGCAAGGACTCTTGACGACAGCACAATTGTCATTCCTGATCCGGCACGCTTGGCACGAGAGATTAACGCCGCCCAAAAAAGTTGGGTCGTGAGTTATTTTTTATTAGATTCACCCCACTATAACATCTCATTTCAAGTATAATAAAAGATTACACCGAAAAAAAAGGATGCTGACTTAACATTCTGGATGTACGAGAGTGCGCGAAAATTCACAAAACGCAGAATTAACCGCCTATCAGCAGTTAAATTAGCCACGGCCGGCTTTAGGGGGTGGCCACATAGGCCGCGGCCCATGGCGGCTTTAAGGGGCGGCAAATTTTGCAATTTTTTTAAATTTAGGTATAAAAAAATATCGGATTCAGAAAAAAAATTACAAACGAGAAAAGGCGAAAAAATCTCTCATTTACCGAGAGTAAGTAATTTCTAATTTTGTCGTCTTTCGGTGATATAAGAGACAGCACCTTTAATTAGTCGAGTAAAGAGAGGAACCAAACACGCAATTTGGCCTAGAACGGCGCGGCGCAGAGAGCAATGATGACGAGGACTTGAGATGAAAAGGAGAAGCCCCCGACGCGGCGGTCGGCATGTAACACATATTAGCGCCTACAAGACTGCATGAATACTTCACGCATTGCGTCAAACACAGTGCGGTCAGCAGCAGTCGGCGCGGTGTGAGACACATAGCGCCTACAAGACTGCATGAATACTTCACGCATTGCGTCAAACACAGTGCGGTCAGCAGCAGTCGGCGCGGCGTGAGACACATAGCGCCTACAAGACTGCATGAATACTTTACGCATTGCGTCAACACAGTGCGTTTCAGCAGCGGTGGTCGGTGTGAAACGCAAAGCGCCTACATAGATAGAAAAGATACATACATACATTCTACATAGAAAAGATAGTAATATCCACTACACAAATGAGCTTTCGTGTCCTCTCCTCTTTTTGCGAAAGAAATTGGAGGAAATCCACTCGTTTCTGAGTAAAGCCTGGAAATAACTAATTGAGATGTTGCATGTGTGAGGCATTTGTGATTTGACTGTTGATTCTTATGTGAAAGTTCGCGAGAAACACGATGGTGCCACTGGTTTTCTCTGAAATCAACTCCCAATCTCAAAAAAAGCTCTCAAGTTGAGGCCAAAATGGAGGGTATGTCCCACGCTACCCTGAGAGTCCACCTCGAGATTGGGAGTTGATTTCAGAGAAAACCAGTGGCACCGTCGATTTTCCGGAAAATCTCGATATAATGGAGCAACTTTGACTTCATATTTGGACTTAGCGTTAAAAAAACACAAAACAAACATCCGTCACATGTTGAGGTTTATTTCCTGAAACTTGAGTTTTCCCCGGAAAACCCTCTTTTTATACAAGAAAATCGGTTTTCCGGAAAAGTCCGATGTGATGGAGCAACCTTGACATAAGTTTCAGACTCAGCGTTGAAAAACACTTTAAAAACATCCGTCACATGTCGAGGTTTATTTCCTGAAAATGAGTTTTCCCCGGAAAACCCTCTTTTTATACAAGAAAATTGATTTTCCGGAAAATCCTGATAGAATAGAGAAAAATGGATAGCATTTTCAGACTCAGCGTATAAAAGTAGGTACATAGGAATCACCTACCATATGTTGAGCTTTGTTTTCGGATGCAGACGTACGTAATTATTTCGGATTTATCACCGTCATTTTATCCTTTTTTAGCGTTTTTAGGTGTTTCAGTTGTTTCGCCGCTATAACGAGGGGTGAAATTTTTTTTTTTTAAGTGTCCAATACGTGATTTCCCACTCAATTTTTCCTGCTGAAGCCGAATATGACCTCAGATTTTTTCTAGAAATTACACATTTTTCGAAAAATGGATTTTTCTGGAAAAAAGTGTTTTTCAATGTAAAATCCCATATAAAAAAAGATGGCTCTGTCGGCACGGGTTAATGTTATCTGATTTGGCTGAAACTTGGCAGAGAGTGTTTTTTGATCAAATGGAACAGTTCTAGGGGGTAAGACCAAAAAAATTCCGACATTGCCAAATCTGGGCCACCCTAATGCAACATCTCCATTGTACTTCAACGGTCAATAATGTAAAATAAAATAGTTTGTTCTGCCCAGAATGGGCGATTGAAAACATAATCGGTGAAGCCTGGGCGAAGGGATGCCTCTGAGGTTTCAGAGGTTAAGGAGACGGGAAGAATAGATAATTTATAGGGGTTTTTCATATTGCTGTTGGGCGGAGAGAAAGGAGGTAGTATTGAGGTGGAAAGAATTCGCGCGGATTCGTGAGAACACGTGGATAAGTCCGAGCGACTGACCGCCAAGTTGCGCCGCACAGTGGGACGAGTTTTTGGAAGAGGTCAGACATGAAATTTTTGACAATTGTAAAGTTTAAAATGATTATTTCGGCAAATTTTAAATGCTAAGGAGAGATTCGTAAGAAAGATTTTACGAGAAAACCAATGAAATCACTTTTGAATCATCAACACTTTAGACTAATGGAGGTATAAGCTTTGGAAGTTACCATATTTTGTTCGATATCTCCAATTTATTCTTTCTATTGTGCGTCGCCCCATGACGCAGTGGTCACTAACTCCCATCTTCACACTAACGATGGAAAATCGTGCTGCATTCATTTTTACGCACTTATTTCAATTTTTCAACCTAATCTAATCAACTCGGGTCTCTTCGATCAGAACTTTGCTATGATTGGATGAAATTAAGCTACAGAGATTAAAATGGGTCATTTTGGACAGCCTTTTTCCCTTCAGCATAGAGGGTGAGTTTGGAAGGACCCCTTTGGTGAATTTTAAGGAATAAATGTTGAGATCTTCACATCACGCTCGATTATTTCATCAAGGAAAATTAATATTCAGATGAAAGTTTTATGACACATACTTTATCACGCTGTTAATGAATTTCATCCATAAAAATTTTTCTTTTCTACTCTCACTGAGTGAGCCTGCGCTTAGAAAAGCGGGATTTCCCGCATAAAAATACGTGACGATTTGAATTCCCGCTACGTACGACTAGTCCACGACGGCTGCGATAGGATTGCGAGAATGTCCCTTTTTTACCTTTTTGGATTGCGCGAATTTTTCTGGCACTGGAAACTCATATGTTTGTGCGAATATTCAATTCAACGAGGAAGCGTTAATCTGGCAACCTTGGTAGTTTGTGGTAGATAACTACATCGCGGAGGACTGTTCATTCCCTCCTCACTTACGGGAATGTCTCTCCTCGATGGATAGCCCTCGCAGCACGATTGACCCAGAGAGCTTTCATAGACTAAACAGCGAACGAGGGGCCTAAGGCCGCCTGCGACTGCACTGTGTTTGGTGCAATGCGAGAAGTATTCATGCAGTCTTGTAGGCGCTAATATGGGCTTGACTCCGTCCGCACTGTTTGGCGCAATGCGTGAAGTATTTCTCCAGTCTTGCAGGCACTAACATGCGTTTAACGCAGGCCGCACTGTGTTTGACGCGATTATTCAGACTTGCGTTAGAATAATCGCGGCATCGTACATGCTCCCCTGCCCCTGCTTCCCTGCTCCCCTGCTCTCTATGCTGGGGCTTAAAAGGCCCAAGTTGTGTTTCGACGCCGTATGAGCATTCCAACGTTGCCGCGTTTCTCCCGATTAAATATTTTTTCCGAGAAAAGGTAGGAAAGTTCTTTATACCCACGTCCATTATTCAATCTTTTCACTTCATTTATCATCAGAAGGTAAGACATCGATGACTTGTCTACAAACTAACCTCAACTAGCGTTAACATAAAAATGCGTTTATTTTCCAACTGTTTCTTGTTTTGCCAAACTTCTACCTTAAATTAACTTCATTTTATAGTCGCGCATTCCTGTAGCAGATGTTAAGGTTTCTATTCGCGCAATCTTCAAATATTCTCTTAGACCTTTCGCGCAGTCCTGCATTACCCTCCACGAGTATGTTGTGCGAGTACCCTGTTTGCTTCTAGATCCTTAGTCGCCAAGAGGCCAGTGGAGGGTCTATTTTCTCTGCGAGAAACCTAAAGGTTACTCTGCCGTGCTGAGGAAGAACGCCGTACGAGCCTTCAGACGTTGCCAAATTTCCTTCGATAAAAAATAAATTTACTGGGAAAATTTTGACTATTTGTTTTCGAAATTTTCAGACAATGTTGTACGCAGTTTAATCTAGAATATCTTAACGTTTTAGGGAAAAATATGCATGAATTTCGTCAAAAGTACATGTTTTATCGAGGGAAATTTGACAACTCTCGTAAGTCCATACGGCGTTCTTCTTTAGCACGGCAGTACTCTGCTGTGCTAAGGAAGAACACCGTATGAACATTCGAGAGTTGCCAAAGTTCCTTCGATAAAATATTCATTTCTGAGGGATGTTATGAATATTTTTCCCTGAAATTTTCAGGAACTTCAGGTGAAATCGGGAACATGATTACCTGAAAAATTGGATGGAAAATATTCATAAGTTTACCAGGAAATTCGTGTTTTATCGAGGGAAATTTGACAACGATTGGAGGTTCATACGGCGTTCTTCCTTAGCACGGCAGTATTGNATAAAAAATAAATTTACTGGGAAAATGGACCACTAGACAAGGTACGAATTTCAGCATTCTGATACATGTTTCTCAACCAAAATTTTACGTAGAACACGATACGCACACCGAAAATGACCAAAATCAACTCCTGACGAAGATATTTAATGATTCTTGATGCGTGAATTCAAACCACCCGCTCATGAAAACTCAATGCTCTACGTGATTCACATCGCGCGCTAAATGTTTATCATGACAGTCTCTGCGATGTAAAAATCTTCAACTTCAATCTTGACACTTTGGCTCATTTATAGTAAATTACCAATAGTTTGAACAACACATGGTGGAAAATGAACATTGCTAGATTGAGAAGCTTGCTGAAACCGTTGTAGTGCGCGATTTGACTCACGTAGAGCTTTGAGTTTCTTGTGAGCGGGCAGTTCAAATTCCTCGTAATCAGTGCGAAATAAAAACGTTAATATCTTCGTTAGAAGTTGATTTCGGTAATTTTCGTAGTAAGAATCGTGTTCTACGTGAAATTCTGGTTAAGAAACATGTATCAGATTGCTTAAATTCGTACCTTGTCTAGTGGTCCATTTTGACTATTTGTTTTCGAAATTTTCAGACAATGTTGTACGCAGTTTAATCTAGAATATCTTAACGTTTTAGGGAAAAATATGCATGAATTTCGTCAAAAGCACATGTTTTATCAAGGGAAATTTGACAACTCTCGTAAGTCCATACGGCGTTCTTCTTTAGCACGGCAGTACTCTGCTGTGCTAAGGAAGAACACCGTATGAACATTCGAGAGTTGCCAAAGTTCCTTCGATAAAATATTCATTTCTGAGGGATGTTATGAATATTTTTCCCTGAAATTTTCAGGAACTTCAGGTGAAATCGGGAACATGATTACCTGAAAAATTGGATGGAAAATATTCATAAGTTTACCAGGAAATTCGTGTTTTATCGAGGGAAATTTGACAACGATTGGAGGTTCATACGGCGTTCTTCCTTAGCACGGCAGTATTGAGGCGATATGCGGGACTAGAGTACCTGTATAGCGAGAGTATAGACAGATGTGAAACTCCGAAAATCCATCAGGCCTTCACCGATGCCTCCGCGAATAAAGTTAGAGCCCAGAAATGCAGCCAACTTATGAATTTCAATTATCCAGAACGATTTATTAATATAATTGTTACGAACCATCGTTTATATAAAGCACGTATTTGACTTAGTTCTTGCATAAATTTACTCATTTTTGTGGAAGAACGCTCATTTATGTACTTTCCTAGCCATCTTGGTTAGAATTGGAATCCACAGACTGGCAGTGAAATTTAGTGCGTTAGAAGTTGGTTAGAAGGGTGGCTGCACTTCTGGGCCCTAAGCTCTCCATGAAGCGATCTGTCCAGTGTCCATACCAAGATCCATCCATATAGGTCAGTCATTGCGCAGATTTCCCCGCTCGGGGTAAGCCCCTTTCCATTGGCTCGTGACGTCAGCATTACTGCCGCGAAAACCAGAAAAGTCGGAAACAATGCTTTTCTCATGGGAGAGAGCAAATTTTTCTTAATGAATCATTTAAATTTCTTACTTTTAAATCCTTTGAAACTTTCTGTGTGTCGAAAAGAACGTTTAGACATTAGCATTCAGGGTTTCGATTTTGCCGAATTTGTGTTCTTTCATTTTTACAGTTTACTCTGCATCAGCCATTTTTACACGCGAATCTATACCACTAGATGGCTTGTTACATCGCTGACTTCAAAAATCATTTAAAAATATAACAACGCAAATTCAGCTGAATTGAAACCCTTGACGCTAATTTCTAAACGTTCCTTTCGACACTCAGAAAGCTTCAAAGAATTTAAAAGTAAGAAATTTAAATGATTCATTAAGAAAAATTTGTTCTCTCCCATAAGAAAAGCATTGTTTCCGACATTTCTGGTTTTCGCGGCAGTAATGCTGACGTCATGCGCAGAAGATTCTCATTTGGGTTTCGGGAATGACTGACCTATATGGATGGATCTTGGTCCATACTCTCGCTATACAGGTACTCTATGCGGGACTTTTGGGTCGCCCTGTATCTTTTGCTCCTCGTTTGGTCTCTGGATTTCATTCTAGGCGCGCGATTTCTACGGACGCCCGGTGACGTATGGAGACGTGAAGGAGCGGCTTGGGTCGCGTCTGCGGCGGAGGAAATTTTCAAGAGTAGGTTTTTCGAGAGGAGATTTGCCATTTTACGCGACGTCGGATCACGGTGCCTCTTATTCGGGCTCAAAGGAGTCTTGCCTCGACAGCAACATTGATAAAATTACCTCGAACGGTTATCAGGATATGTTGCCCACCGTGCCGAGATCCTTCGACTTGAGGAGATACTATCCAGCCTGCGAGTCCCTCAACACCATCAGGGAGCAGTCCGACTGCGGATCTTGCTGGGTGAGAACTTCCAACTTTATCCTCTGCTCATAAAGTAACCGAACTTTAGTTCATCTGTTCAAACGCTTCAGGTTTTCACGCCTTGTATTGAGTAACGTTGCTTTTTGAAAAAGAAGAAGAAGAAGAAGAGGTTACAGAGGGCATGTTGTCTCATCAGAATGTCATGCAATATATCGACGGTGAAACTACCAAACCACGTATCTCGGTTTGCGACGTCGCAGACTTCCTGCCATACTTTATTTTTTAAATAGAAAACTACTCAACGTCAATTCGTGAAAACTTCCATGATTTTTCCTCTTCGTGCGGAGAAAAATCTGTTAAAATTGTAAGGAATGATATTGATTTGATCTCCTTCAAAAAAATAAAAAGTGAGTGGAGATTTTTAAACACCGCAAACGAGATACGTGGTCTGGTAATTTCACCGTCGATATGTTAAATTTACTGCAAATACCCAAAACCAAAGAGGCACATTGCAACGAAAATATTGAAATAATTTTGCAATCGATGAAGTAAAATTGGAATTTTTTTTGCTGCCAGTATTATTTTTACACCATTTGGTCAATAAATCTTAATTTTATACGATAAAAAATTAGTTCCATTCGTGAAGAAGTTGATCAATTTGCCACGCAAAAAAATGCAACTTATTTAGATTTTATTACAGTCATAAATACCAATAAGAGGAGCCCCTTCAACCATTTTTGCTACCTGTGCTGCGCGTGGGCAATCGGGCTTCCACACGTAGAAGAGATATTACAGTTTATCGTTCACATTGGAGCCAGGGAAGCATTAAAATCTGCCTTTTTTGACAAGATTAGAGACGCCCTGTACCAGAGAAGGAAGAAAATGCCGACGATACCAAGCTCCAACTTATTGGTCTAATAACTTATTGGTTGTTGCCATTAACTGGTTCGGCTCAAGGTAAGTGAAACGTAGGTATGCTCTTCTCGATCCTTTAAGCCAGAACTCGGCTTTCCGCTTCCGCCGCTAGAGATGTGGCGCAAAATTTAAATTTCAACATCTTTGCAGTCTCGGCCGGTTGAGCACAGGGGAGAATTTCACGAGCAGCCGCCAACTCGCAGCGCATTACGGACCAAAACTCAGGAATAGGAAGAAATAAGTCGGAAAATGACTGAAAAATCACGAAAGTTTTGAAACTATTGGTTTTGAGTCGCTAAATTCGAATTTGATGTCAAATTGCCTACATTTTAACACCTGACCTATTTATTGTGGGCAAGTTTATAGCATGCTGCGGCGCGGCGCGGCGTGCTGCCGCTGCCAGCTCGAAACGCGCACTGACGCCTACAAACCTAATGGGATACTTCAAGCATTGCGCGATGCGTGAAGTAGCCCTTTAGGTTCAGAAATTCGGAAATTCGTTAATTTTAATCAGACATTATTTTTTACATCCAATAAAAATGAAATCCGAGTAAATATGACTAATGGGGTGCATTAATATTCACAAAACACACAGCATACTTATTTTCCTTTAAAGCATTTTTCCCCCATCAATATAAATGAGAATAATCCATGCAGAGTGTGCAAATATTTCAAAATGATGAGTCGAAAAACGCTGATTCCGCAAGTTTAAATATTAGAGCCCAACATAGAGCGGAGCGGCGTGATGCCAGCGCGACACACGCATTGGCGCCTTCAAACCTAACAGGGATACTTCACGCATTGCGCAATGCGTGAAGTATCCCTGTTAGGTTTGTAGGCGTCAATGCGCGTTTGGAGTTGGCGGCCCGCCGCGGCGCCCCCAAAGGCGGGTGGTGAATGATTTCTTGTGGGGAGAGTTCTCTGTCCGAGAAACTCGTATATCGTGTAAATTTTTTTTTAATTTCTGACTTCTAAAATTACACACTAGTCGTGTGAAGTAATTGGTGAACTCTGAAGGCTAGATGAAATGTAATAATGAAAGGCGGGTCGTGCGCCATGCGCGGTGTGTACGGCTCCAGAAATTCTCCCCTGTGCTCTGCCAAGTCTTGCCCGAAAACAAATATAACCGTTTGCTGTTGATAAAAACGAACAAATTCAGTGCAATCAAAGTCTTTTAAGAGAGGAAATCCATATGATTTTGGTGAGGTGACCGTTCGTTCATTTTTATCAACAGTTAATGGTTATGATTGTTTTCGGCAGAGACTAAAAAGTTATTGAAATTCAAATTTCGCGCCATAGCTCTAGCGGCAAGTGCCAAAAGGATCGGGAAGAGCATACCTCCTTTCCACTTTTACCTTGGGTGAGACCTACGTATGTTGGTAATACTGATGGCCGAAGTGCGAAACCACGTAACTCTGTCGTTGATGTTTCAAAATTTCGGCTCCTTCCTTGTCTTTTTCGATGAAACAAGCCATCTTTGTTGCTTGAGGGTGGTTTTACGATAGCTGGAATAGTTTTGTTGCTGTAACAGACAACATATTTTTAGTAGTAATGGTTACGGTAATGGTTAGTAATGGTTTAGGGTTACGTGTTATAACGCTTTTCAAAGATTTATCGCTCTTCTTTTCAATTTTAATATATAAATGGTCGAAAATATGCTGTCTGTTACGCGAGACAGCACATTTTTGAAATTTACGTAATATTGATTGAATGGTGAGGCAATAAATCATTAAAAAGCGTTATAATACGCAACTTTTTGAAGATTAATGCGAAAAAATTCGAAAGATTTCATTTCTACTAAAAATATGACCGAAAAATGTGTTGTTTGTTACGGCGACAAAACTATATTCCAGTTATCGTGAAACCACCCTTGAAAGGGCAGAATATTCGGCCAACAGAGAGGAAAATTCAAGGAAATTACCAATAAGACAAGTTGAGTAATTTTCAAAGAAAAAATAAAGCATGACAGGAGGTCTGCAACGTCGCAAACGGAGATATACTAATTACGTGGTCCCACACTTCAGCTATCGATATTTATTTTCGCAAGCGCAAAGTTTGAATCACTTTATACACATCGACGCTGAAACTCCCGAACCACGTATCTCGGTTTGCGACGTTGCAGACTTACTGTCTTACTTTATTTTTTAAGAGAAAAACTACTCCACGTTTATTCTTTAAAATTTCTGTAATTTTTCTGTTTTGGGCCAAGAAAATCCTGTGAAAACTTCACGAAATGGTGTTCATTTGCTTTCAGATAAGAAGAATGATAGGAGCGGAAAATTCTAAACGCCGCAAATGAGATACGTGGTTTAGGAGTTTCGCCGTCAATATGTACTACTTATACTATGGTTATGGGACATTTTGTCAACGATTTTTTGTCGGCACACCTGTTTTTTCCAGTAGTTTATGTCCACGCATTTTTTTGGCGCGGGAGTTTTGGTCCTCATACTAATCGAGACCCTAAGTTAATTGATCCACATGTACATGTAATTACATACAACAATTGCTCAGAACGTTTTTGGATAAAAATATGCAGTGTCTTGAAAGACTGAGGGTTTTCTTGTTTGTTTTTTTTTTTTGGTTTTTTTTTTGGTCCAACGGAGAATAATGTACAATTGAGAATTTTTGTAAAAATGGGGGAGCGTCAATTCCACGAGGGAAAATTCACTAAAACTCTTTAAACCTCTTTGGTGCAACAGGACTTAATTATCTTTCAAGAAATGCCCATCTTGTTATACCAGAACCGGATAAACCTTTTGATTTGCCTCTGCTAAAGGCTCTTAGATTTTTCCTGTACACGATAACTTCGCGACGGCGCGGCGCTTCAAGCTACCATTTCGCCACGGAGCTGTTGCACGTTGCACATCATACGAGATTAAAGGCACCCCAATGTATCATGATTGACTGCATCTTTCAAAAGCCTGAAGTTCCCTCGCAAATCAAATCGAGTGACGACTGCAAAAAGAGAGCGGTAGTCGCAAAATTATTATTATAAAATAATATTGATAAAACGTTATTAAATACGATGCCAGGACTTTGTGAGTGTATGGACTACTGTTCTCTTTTTGTGCCGTAGTATATTTTGATTTGTTTTGCCAGGAAAGCTTCATACTCTTAAAGGATGCCTGTCATTCTTGATACGTTGCAGCGCCTTCAATTTCGTATGATACTGTACGAGTACAATACCTCTGTCGCGAAATAGTTGCTTGAAGCGCCGCGGCGGGCGAGGGCGACCGGCGTGGCACTCGCATTGGTGCCTTCAAACCTAACAGGGATACTTCACGCATTATCCCTGTTAGGTTTGTAGGCGCCAATGCGCGTGTCGCACTGACAATAAGCCGCTCCGCTCTATGTTAGGCTCTAATATTTAAACTCGCAGAGTCAGCATTTTTCAACTCATTATTTTGAAATGTTTGCACACTCTGCATGGATTATCCTCGTTTAAATTGATGAAAAAAAATTACGTATTGAAGGAAAATGTAATGAGTGTTTTGTAAATGTTATAGTGGCCCCATGTCAAATTTAGGTAATGATTTCCAAAGCACTTTAATTTTTTCTTTTATATTTTGCGCTTTTATTTTGCTGCGGCATGGTGTGCGCACAACCTAACGCTCAAAATTGGATGTAATTGACTCTTAAAGATCGATGTACAAATGGGTTAAAACCAAAGATCGCGTGCTCCTTGGTTTTTTTCTCTCTTATTCATTTTTTCAACACATTCACAGCTCATAGGGATTAATATCGATGCCATCGCTTTGAAAAGATTTTACAAATATTTGCCTTGTATTAAACATGTTCTTAAAATAGAGTTATCTTTCCATTTAAAAAAAAAAAAAAAAAAAAAAAAAAAAAAAAAAAAAAAGTATGTAAAAGGTATATTTTATATCTATAGAAAATTGTGAGGATAGAAAGAAAACCAAATGTTCACCAATGGCAATTTGAAAAGATGAATCAAAAGGGAAAAGTAACATGTCATTTAAAAATGAGTTTCCGTAACAATAACTCCTTCTCTCTCAATTTTCTCATTTTGTCATTTTGATATTGTCAATAAAAACTTACAAACGGACTAAAATCTAACGCTTGGACAGAGTCACTGTTGCTTATTTTACGCATGGACATAAACTACGTGACAAAACTGGTACCCAGACCAAAACTCATTGACGGAATGCCCTGAAACCTATACTATCATTGCTCACTCGTGAGTCTACTATACTGCCGTGCTAAGGAAGAACGCCGTATGAACATTCGAGAGTTGCCAAATTTTCTTCGATAAAATGTTTATTTTCGAGGTTAGTTATTAATGTTTTTCCTTGAACTTTTCGGGAACTTCAGGTGAAATTACAAACAAAATTATCTGAAAAATTGGAAGAAAAATATTCATAAGTTAACCAGGGGATCCTTGTTTTATCAAAGTAAATGTGGCAACGCCTGAAGGTTCATACGGCGTTTTTCCGTTGCACGATTGCCTTGAATTTCGGAAAAGCGTTTCATTCACTGGGAAAAAACCACATAGGATCTAGAGTCCAGACTCTTGAAAACATTGACAAGAAAACGGACTCTTGATCCAATCAGATTTAAGCTTAAATCAAAAGGAAATCCGCTCAAATTAAGAGGCTGGGTTCTTGATTTAAGCTTAAATCTGACTGAATCAAGAGTATTTTTCCTTGTCGATGTTTTTAAGAGTCTGGGCTCTAGATCCAATGTGTTTTTATTTTCCGGTGTTGAGAAATGGGATATGATTTCAGGCGGTCTCATCGGCGAGCGCGCTGTCCGACCGGCTGTGCATAGCGTCGGGTGGAAAGATCAACGTGCACATTTCGGCGGAGAATCTGGTCACCTGTTGCGCGGCTTGCGGCGAGGGTTGCGACGGTGGCGACCCCATGGCCACTTGGGAACACTTCATGAAGGGTGGTGAAATCACAGGGGGAGACTACGGCTCCGAAATAGTTAGTGCGCAAGTAAAACCTTCATCACACCCATAGAGTACATATGAGTACCCATAGAGTACACTATGATCACACCATGCAGCGTGCGGTAGAAACCGGAAAGGTGACTGGAAATGGGAGAGGGCGGGAATGAAGATGTTCCATGTGTGAGGTATTTGCGATTTGACTATTAATTCTTGTAAAAGAAGTGACTTTGTAAAAGTTCGCGAGAAACACGATGGTGCCACTGGTTTTCTCTGAAATCAACTCCCAAGCTCAAAAAAAGCTCTCAAGTTGAGGCCAAAATGGAGAGGATATCCCACGCTATCCTGAGAGTCCACCTCTACATCAAGACAAACCGTCCATGCAAAGACAGGGAGCAAGTACATTGACCGTGTTTCTCGCGAACTTTTACATAAGAATCAATAGTCAAATTGCAAATTCCTCACACATGCAACATCTCTATTAAAGGGGAAAGGGGATTTGAAATGGGTAAGTATAAAACACCACAGCTGCTTAGGTCAATTCGGCACCACTAACTGAAAAAAACATCCAAAAATTGACTTTTTTGGAGTGCTTCAGAGTTTGGGATCGCGATTTTAAGAGTAATTCAGTTAAAGATGTAATTGACATTTCACTCTGAAAAGTCGGCTTCAAAATTCATAAGAGAGAAAATACTTCTGCACGATATCAATGGCCAAATTGCGAAACCCCATCGCGATGTTTCAAAATGTTAGGTCCTATTTTATTTTTTACCATTTTATTTGCAGGGAATATTCTACTAACATAGAAAAAAAAAACAAAAAAACATGGAAGTTTTCAAGAAATTAAGTTAACTAATTTTCCGCAGGAATAAGCAAGTATAATAGGAAGTTTGCAACGGAAGTTGCAAGTACCTACTTGTCCATTGAATCGGCGTCGATCGGTTCACGTTTTCATTTTCCGTCCGATTCATGTCGATCGTACACATACCCCTCGTTACATGCAGACAACCTATCATACTGTTTCTTAAACTGAAAAATTCGCCTTCAGCTGCGTCCGCAGCAATTGATGTTACGAATGTGTTGTGCGTGCTGATCTGAGCTAATTACATACTTGACTTTGTGAAGGCGTTTAATGTGCGAAAGTAGAGCACTCTGTTGGAGAAGAACGGAGGTGAGATTGAACAAATCGCTCAATCCTCCTTCGTTCTTTTTCAGACAGATCGCGCCACTTGCGCACATTAAACGCCTTCACAAAGTTAAGTATGTAACTAGCTCAGATCAGCACGCACAACATATTCGTAACATCAATTGCTGCGGACGCAGCTGAAGGCGAATTTTTCAGTTTAAGAAAGAGTATGATAGATTGTCTGCATGTAACGAGGGGTATGTACGATCGACATGAATCGAACGGAAAATGAAAACGTGAACCGATCGACGCCGATTCAATGGACAAGTAAATAAAACAGCGGATCAAAATCAATAGAAAACGTGCATTTACTATGAAAATTTCAAATTGCGATATCTCGAAATCAGGATCAGCCAAGATTTTAATTTTTCGCGATTTTAATTCATTCCTCGCGGGTATCTGTAGTTACTAGAGATCTTAATCTTAAATTATTTAATAAAATTCAATCTTCATTTGTTTAGGGTTGCAAACCGTACAGTATTGCACCGGAAGCAGGCACTGAAACGGTTGATATTGATGCTGAAGAGACGCCCCCCTGTGTTGAGGAATGCACCAATCCCAACTATAAGATCCCATATAAAGAGGCACCCAGATACAAAAGTAAGTATCTCATGTCCGAAAGCTTATATTAAACCACTATGTAAATCAGCCCTTGAAGGAGACTTCAATACCTATCGTCAATAAAGTAACATTTTTCTGAGGAGTAGCCATTCTACTGGCAGGAACTACTGAAAGCAATTGTAACTCGGAAAAATGTTAATCTTCAATACTTGTATATCTTTATAAACAATAGTTCATTCTTCTGTACCTATTTAATAATTTGACCTTATCTAGTGCTCCAGATTAGCAAGTCTTTGCTGTCAGAGTTTTTGAAAATTTTATCGGAGTCTTTAAACTAGGAACACATTTTATCAAAGATGCCTAAAAAAATCCAAAAATTGAAAATCCAAGTTGTCATGAGTTATGTCCTTCAGATGATTTAGATTACATTTTGCAAAAGGGAGCCACTCTCTCTGGCTCTTTTGTAAAATCACCTCTCTGCATGGGGAAACCAATGCTACCGTGCTACGGAAAAACGCCATATGAACCATCAGACGTTGCCAAATTTCCTTCGATAAAAACTATATTTATTGGAAAAATTGTGAATATTTTTTTCCAAAATTTTCAGATTATTTTGTACACGATTTCATCTAAAATATCTGAAAATTTAAAAGAAAAATGTGCATAAATATCGTCAAAAATACATATTTTATCAACAGAAATTTGGCAACCCTCGAATGTTCATACGGCGTTCTTCCTTAGCACGGCAGAATGGCATACATCGACGGTGAAAGTACCAAACCACGTATCTCGTTTGCGGTGTTTAAAAATCTACGCTCACATTTTGTTTTTTGGAATTAGACCAAATCAATATCATTCCTTGAAATTTTCACAGAATTTTCTCCGCGCAAAGGGGAAAAATCACAGAAATTTTCAAGACTGGACGTTAAATAGTTTTTCATTTAAAAAATAAAGTATGACAGGAAGTCTGCGACGTCGCAAACCGAGATACGTGGTTTGGTAGTTTCACCGTCGACATGTTGTTTCTAAAATGAGCCAGGAATAGTGGTTCCTTATTGCAAAATGTGGTCCATTTACACCGGACTGGATAGAAATAAGTCAATTTTCGATTCTGAGGATTTCGTCATTTCCACTTCAAAGTCTCCATCAAATTATTTCATATTCAGACTGTACGCACTAACTCCTGTTCAAATAAACTCTTTAATGTCCTTTGGGTACATTTTTTATGCATGCTCTGATATTGGGGCCGCGTTATGCTTTGTTCCAGCAAGAAATACGTACATCCTCCCAGATACGAACTTGACGATAGCTCAGCTGGACATCATGTTAAACGGTCCCATAGTACCTAGTTTCATGGTGTACTCAGATTTTATGCTTTACAGCTCAGGTAAGAGAGGACATTTTTACATTAGTTAAAGTTAAATAAAGATCGGCCGTGCAAATGGATACTTTAATTCTTACCCCTTTCCAAGAAATGGGGGTCAATCCAAAACAGGTGAAAGGAAAGTCACTTCGCCAATGACCAATATTTTTTGTATAGGGTTGATGAGAGGAAAGATCTCATGTTTTCGTGACAATAGCTGATGAACGTAGGGTTGAGCAGTTTGGAAAAGACTTGGCTAAATTAGATCTTTCTGGTGGAGCAGATAGTTCGATAAGTCACCCTTTAAATAGCCGACCAATAGATGATAAAAAGTGTTGACCACTAAAAATAACTTCTTCACAATTTGATGCCTATGGTGCAGGGTTACATAAATATTTGAATACCTTCATACCTTTGTAATAATATGACTAAAATTTGTTAAATTAGCCAAGGATTAATTTCAAGTGTTATTTTTCAGGTGTTTACAGGCATACAAAAGGACTGAACATGGGAGGTCACGCTGTAAAACTAATTGGTTGGGGCCGAGAAAAAGGGGTTGATTATTGGTTGGCAGCCAACTCATGGGGCCGAGATTGGGGTATAAAAGGCTTTTTTAAAATTCGCCGTGGTGCCAATGAATGCCTCATGGAGGAATACATGGTAGCGGGTGAACCAGATGTCAGAGACGTTTCCTCAATGGACCAAAAAACCTGATGATAAAAATCCTTAGCCTTAAAATGGCCAAGATCAAAGTTTCAAAAATCGATTGGAAGCAATTAAATGAGGAAAAATAAGTTTTTCTCTTTAATTTCAGAAGGACTGTGATAGGGATGACTTAAAAAATAAAATGAAAAATTCATCTTCACACACACACACGCACCCTCACATCATTCAAAGTTCCTATGGGGAAGTTATCAAGGCCAATGTTTTTATTTAATGTTTAATTACTGTAAAAATTCGAACGTGCGTCATCCATTATTATCAATGGTGTAAAAATCTTCTGGTTTAGATATAAAATCATGGTTGATATTAGATCTAGACTTTGCATTTCCTGTACTTTTCCTGTGTTTTTCCGAAATTTTCTCTATGGTTACGAAATTGTAACTGTCCATTCGAAAACAGACCAAAGCTCATATAGATTCAAAATCAAATTAACTGCACTAGAATATAGAAGAGTGCTCTAGGAACGTTCGGGGGAAAAAGAATGATCAAATATTCAGAATCAAGCTAGAGTTAGTAAGAGAGAAGAAGAGATACATATATAAGAATATATATAGTCATCATTGGTAACAGAGAAGAAGAGATAGCCGAATAAAAATAGTAATCATTAGTAGGAGAGAAGAGGAGATAGAAGAATGAATTTTAGGGTGCCTGATAAGAAGTTTGCCATAAAAAAACGTAGTTTTCAGAGAAAACCATTTAAAATTGTTATCTGTCAAGTTTAGGGCCAAATATTGGCACATTATATTGCAACTTAATGTGCTTCATTCGCACAAAAATGAAATAAAACGCTCGCAACATACTCTCTAGGACACTGGGCAGATTTGCCGCTAAAATCTGAAAATTCGATTTTTTAACCCAACTCAAAAAAAATTGTTCTACTGAGGGTTTTCCTTTGAAAACTACGGCTTCATTCCCTGTAACCGGTCACAAAGAGAGAAGAGATAAAGTTGGTTGCTAAATCAATTAACTAAATAGTTCCCCTGTCAATCTTACAAAGCGCCGACATTCCCAATGATTTCAACAATTTTCCTCTAATGCTCTATTTTTCATAATTTTCCTTGTCAAATTAAATTCCCTGAATATTTCTCCTTTTCCGGTTTGCTATGAATCCTGCTAAATGTGCGAGGGAGAGCCTTTAAATATCTGTCTTTTGAAAACTTAGAACTAAATCAATCACAAGATCTAGAGAGATGTAATCATTTTTACACAAATACGGCGAAATAGGTGCAAAAAGGAATGATGTTGCCATGCATTTTGCGAACTTAATGGCCCAAGTTTTGAGAATACATATTAGAGAGGCTCATTTTCCAAACTAACACTGACACACATTCAAAGATTTAATCGGGATATCTGCTTGGGAAAATGAATGAAGAAAACATCAGTTTTGAAAATAAAAAATATTGAATCCTAGGGATATATGCTATTCATCTACCCCCTATTCTCCGTAAATTGAAAATGGAAATTTTTTGTTAAAAAACAAAACTAGGTACAAAACAGAGTGGGTTTATTCCACAAATATTATAAAATAAAACATTAAGGAGGCTCTTAAAATAAAAATAAAGGGTCGATACCGTGAAACGGATGTCTTCGTAATTATACAAGGGGTTCTGTACAGTAATTTGAGAGAAGTTGAAAAGTCATCAATAAGGACAGTTGTAGATATGAATACTTTTATCTTCTGAAACTGAAAGGATTCTTGTACCATCAGGACTATATTTGACACCCCAAACCTGAAATATAAATAAAATCAACAAGTTATTACTTTGGGCTCCTCAACATATGATGGGATGGCAACATAAACTTATGGAAATTGTTTGATATATTCACCATTTCTCTGCATAATTAGACATTTAAGCATCAGACCGGTGAATTTTTATCACACTATTTACAAGATATAATGCAAAACTTGTGGTCATTACAGTCAATGTTTATCCATTTCTGACTTGCATCTGAGTTCAAACTACTTTAAATACATTAGATTCAAAAGGAATGGCTGCATTTAAGGAAAATAAAGTACCAAATTTCCAGGTAATTTAAATTATTATGATTTTTTTTTCAAAACTTTGTCTTTCAATTTGTAATGGGAAAAAGCATTGCAGGAGTAGTCATCTTCCCGCCAAAGTATCACAAGCGCCACTTTGCCAACTTTTCAGTGGACACAAAAAATTGATTTGCAACCGAATCAGATGGAGATTCGGCTTAAAACTTGGAAAACCGATCCATTACAACTTTCTGGCTTAAATTTTAATAACATTTTTTTTAAAAAAACTTTTTTTCTCTAAAAATTGGCACGTGTGATGCCGCGTTCTCAGGGCATTCTGTGAAACCATGGCGCTTGTGATACAGGCGCCTATCAAAATTTAACAGAGTTTTTTTCCATATTTATTCATTCTTAGTCTTAAAAAAGTATTACTTTTCATAAATAAATGCATCTCATTATTAGGAAATCATCCATGACTCAACTCAATTTCAATACAAATTGCGTTTGTAAAACCTGAAAACCTCCGACCTGAAACTCGGAAGGTAACAAATTGCCCCAGGTCATTCCAAGTGTAGCTGATACTGAAATTTCAATAACAATCCCGAAGATGAGCAATTAAACAACTTGGTACTTGTGATACTTTACTCTAATATATAGCACTTGTGATACAAAAGTTCACCAACTTCAATGGAGTATTTTCCATACTTATTTATTTGTATTCTAAAAACAACCCTTCGGTTCAAAATAACGAGATACATTAACATATGAAAATAATTTAGCTTCGAGTCATTCCGAGGGTTGCTGCAAAAAAAATTGCAAACAATCAGAAAGGTGGGCGGTTGCCAAACTTGACACCTGTGATACTTATCTCCCAAATGCTGTTTGTGATACAGAAGTACTTTAACTTTAATCAATTTTTATTCATATTTCTACATTTTTGTTCTAAAAAAATTATTATTTTCGTATGTAAATGCATCTCGTAATTTTGAAACTGTTCATCACTCAATTTCGGTAAAAATTGTGCTTGCGATACTTTGGCAGGAAGGTGACGACATAAATCCATTGATTGATTGCATCATCAAGTCTGTTGGTCTAAAGGGCTAATTGATAAATAGAAAAGGTACTGTCCATTAAAGATAAACTGAAAGAAAAGGGAATTGGATACCTCGTCTGTGTGTTCGGAATATGTTTGGATACTTTCTTTTTTGTTCAATGACCACAATTTGACTGTGTGATCCGAACTTCCAGAAACAAAATGTTCTTGATTTGGTGAGAAGGCCACGCTTAGAACCCACGATCCATGACCTGAGAGAGTGCTAACTACTTGAGCATGATGGCTGAAATCAACGAACGAACATTATTTAATTAGGGATTTAACATTTAAGGTACTCAGCACTTAATTCATAAATGAAGAGTAAGTACAAAAAAGATCAATTCTATTATGAAATGAAAGAGAAAGCCAAACTGAATTTAATTTCAGAAGGCCCTCAGAGATAAACTAACATTCTTTGATTTGACCCAGAATCTTGATAGTGGGAGAGAATTTTCAAACAATTTTCATACCTTAAATCAAAATTCACACCATTTACATACTTTTGATCTCTCAAATGGGGCTGTTGCAAAATTCAGCAAGAGATAAAAAAGAGTTGATTCCTGTAGAAATGGCTTAAAAATCACGATGAGCACATCAGGAAAGTCTGAAAAACTCTCCTAAATTCACAATCTGTGTAAGAAATAAGCATTTGTTAAGGTTCCCACTTCAAAAACAAAACCACGGCACAAAAGAACATCTCGTAAGAGGAGTCCTTTCATCCAACCCTTGTGCACTAGGATGCTACACAATATTCAACATGGCTGACACTTCCGTACGCAAATCGTGAAAAAGGATACCATGGTCTTTTTCAATGCATGGAAAATGTGAATATAAACACGCCGGTTGATAAAATACAATTTCGTCACATGTGTTTGGCGGGTTGGCGCTGGCCATGTTGAATATTGCGTAGCATCCTAGTTCGCAAGGAATGACTCCTCTTACGCTTCGTTCACCGGTGCTGTAGTATCGTTTCCGGAGCGGGAGGCTAAACTGTATGCAAATTTCTCTCACAGATTGTGAACTTAGGAGTATATTTCAGACTTTCCCATTGAGCTCATCATGATTTTTGAGCCAGTGTATGTATTAAATAACTCCTTCTTTTGCTCTAGCTGAAGTTTGCAACAAGCCTATTCATTACAGTTCCATTTTTAGAACTTACAAACTTTACTTAGTCCTTAATGCATTGCAAACAGCTTCCAATAGTCTAGATAAGTATCTTTCATAATTACAAACATTTGTCTCTTCCTTTTCTGCTTACTGTAAACTTGAAGAAGCAATGTGATTAACTTACACAGCATATAATTTCATATGAGCATCATCAGAGCCTGTTAGGAGGTACTTAGAATCAGGAGAGAAACATAGAGATCTAATTGGCATAGCGTGACCTTCAAGAGTGTGCACTAATTTCCCTGATGCTGTATCAAAAATGTTGATGAACCCATCTATTGCTCCAGAAGCAATGTACTTTCCATCAGGACTCTGAAATTATATAAGTCAAAACAGGAAAAATTGAAAGACTTGACATAATGAATGAAAGATCAAACCTCAAAAATAAAAATTTCCCAAGTTTCAGAAATTTTAGAGGAACTTTATGAGCAATCTGATTCAATATTTAAGACCAACAACAAAAACCAAATTCACATGGACCAGAAAAAAATCCCAGGTGGTATTCAAAAGACTTTTTCACTTCAGAATGTTAATTGAATTGAATCACTCATGTTTTTTGGATCATTAAATGTGGTAATTTTTCCGATACATCAATGCAAAAGTTGATGGATAAGGGTTATGGATTTCTTACATTTTGCGTTACATTTGAGTTCTAATGTTTAAGCCAGTCAAAAAGCAAGTGAAATGCTAAAATTGCCCTGAAATGTTTTGAAAAATATTTTCTTTACATATTGCAGCGATTACTCAGTCCATCCAACTAATCATCAACAGTGAATTGAGGAAGTCAGCTTTTTGTGTATGAGAGAAGTATATAATCAAATAATTGAGCAATAGTATTAATTTAGCTGTTTGGAACATGCAAACACACCCTCATGACTAGGCACAAGGTTCCCCAGCAATAGAAGTAAACTCTAAACTTTGAAAGAGCAAAATGACGAAAATCTTCCGAGATACAGAAAATAATGACAAAAAGAATTTTGACGGAGAAAAGAAAATTAAACTTACATAGGCAATGCTAAGAGTAAATTTTCCTCTAGTGTCTAGTGTTTGTTCTTTTTTTAACGATTCAACGCCAAAAATATTTATTTTCCCAGCATTAGACCCTGAAATGATGAGTTTATCGTCTGGAGAGAATGCTATCGTCCAAACATCAACGGGCCCAGATGACATGCTTCCTATGTTAGCGCCTGTTTCTAAATCCCATAGCTTTATTGTGGAATCTAAAGAACTTGATGCGCAAACTGGAAACAAATAAAATAGCTAAATTAAAAGAGACAAAAATGGTTACAACTTTAATTATATACTGTCTTTTTCTCTCTTGTATTCCATTTATATTCTATCATACTTGATCATGTTTTCAATAGGGGCTCCTTCATCACAGCACATTTTTTAGGGAAATAGTTACTTACATGAAACACCTGATAGTTCAAAAATAAAATGCTCCCTTACATTTAGACACTATGGCCTTTTTATAGGATCATATTTCTTAAGCGTTCCACCCATCCACAAGCTAGGAGCTGCAAAGAGAGTCACTGATGAAATTATTGACTGTTGCCTTTTAAAGATCGTCGGCCCAATGATCTTTGGAGGTAGCCAATATAAAATGTTTGGGAAATATTATAGAGGAGATCTTACGATTTTCAAGGAATTTTGTGCAAAAATGGCTGAGAAATAAGAAAATTAGTGCAAGTCTGTGCATGGGACATGCCTTTTAAAGGCTAAGTTTCATTTGCATTTCATAAAGACAACGCAACTGAAGATAACACAACAATAATTTGCGTGTATATTCATAATACATTGAAAGCCAGTAAAAATTGTAACTCTTTACATACCTAAATTGCTACTAAAAGATACTATGAGGAAAAAATCAAATCTTGGAAAATTTTTATAGAAAAGATACTGAAAATTTGGATTTTAAAATGAATGAGTTAAAAGATTGACTCACAGTGCAATGAAACAAATAAGCCTACATTCTTCCTAGGTCAATGATAAATTAGGAAATTTCAGCATTAGAATGAAGAGGATATATACGAACCATTTCCTTTTGAATTAACAGCTACGGACATTATTCCCAGAGAATGTCCTTTCAATGTATGCGCCAGTTTTAAGGTATCTTTGTCATATTCCCAGACTTTGACCTTATCATCTATTGATCCTGTAATTATATAACTTGATTTGGTCGTGTTTGATGGTGATCTTAAAAAGAGAAAAGAAAACAGATTAATATGCAAAATTTTCATTCTTAACATTTATTGCTTTGATAGAAATGCTTTTGTAAGGAAAGACATGTTGCTGTCCTTGATTTTATACCCTGTTCAATGGTCCATTAAAAATTCGGATCATCTTTCATTGAATATTTTCATAAATTCAGTTTAGAAAAGGAAGAGAAATAAAAATCTGAGATGCTTACAATGTGCCATTCTCTTCTGTACTGCTTGTGGGATGATCCAATGCTTTGCCCCATGCACAGGCCCATATACTGTCCTCATGGGCATCTAGCTGTCGACAAACTGTGGAATACTGAAAAAAAGAGCAATGAAAATATTACAGAGGGTAAAATTTTAAATTCCACCAGGACCAGGCATAATCTTATAGTCATTCCTTACAACATGAGTCAGTAATTGTGGCAGAATTTACACTCAATTACAGGATTCACGGTAAAATCATGTGACTGAAAATTAACCTTTCTACTTCAAATTGATTGAACGCCTCTTCAGACACTGGCAAAAGCAGCCTCTTGAGGTGATAACTCACAAAGACTTAAAAGTTTTGCACAAAATGAAAATGGTCTCTTTCCAGCTGAGAGCTTTTTTTTTTATTCCAAACCGCAAAAAATCGCGATGAAACATGTTCCCTTTACATCTTGGTCCAATGTCGCAGTCTTGCCTGTTTCATGTATTCCAGTGGAACACTTAGATTGCTCTTCTGCAGTAGGTAATGAGCAATCCTAGCCTCAAGCAGAACTATTCAAACTGCAGATAACCCAATCCATAGCATTCCATGGATTAAATGAAAGCTCTTTACAAATGCATGTTCTATTTGTGGCATATAAATATAAATTTGTAATAAAAGGCAATATGAGCCGGCATTCTATTTGATTTTGTTCTGATATTGTAACTTTCAATTTCGACTATAAATGCTCAATTATCCATAATTCTCATCCAGCATTGGTACTGTACAAGTCTGAAAGAAACACAAACTGTTTAAGCTACAAATGGACATTTTTCTAGGAATTTGGGATTAGGAATTTTTTCTTAAGTTATAAACTGTTTGCTGTGAAAGTGCTCCGGTAAAATTTGAAAATGCCCAAAAAGTTTTTGGTTATTGACTTTCCATTTCCATTTGCCACCTAGCACTAGCCATTATAATTCAAAAGCAATGACATAGCCAAGCACAGATATGTGGACCAGCTTGCTGCACACAACTGTAAGTATGCAACCGCTAACTTATCTGACAAGAGCTCTATGTAGTTTGTTCGTATTGGCTACTTATTAGTGGTATGCAAAACGACTGAATCCATTACCCAAGTTAGTCTACTCGAAGGTTGACTTACTTTTGGAGTTTTGCTGCTCAAAATGATTGGTTGTGAGATTATTCAAGCATGAGCGAATTATAAAAATTATTTAATAAAGAGTTATTCCATTTAAGGTCGCTGACTTCAACGCAGCGCTTGTCCAGGCTTCCTACGTTTGAAAGAAGCTATCGACTTACCATTTGTAGAGTCTTTTCAGGTCCTGATACGGGTGCAGAATCTTCAGGAAGGAATTAGTTCCACAAAATGAATAAATTTGTGCCACTCACAGATTTTTAATTAATTAAAAAGTCCTGAATTGACGGTTCGACGCGGCATTGTGTGAACTTTCCCGGTGCAGAATATGAGTGAGGAAGTGAGGTTATGTTTATGTTTAATGCTATCATGTTGCCAAGTGTAAAACTAATTACGTATTTTACTTTAGGTTGCTTAGGTTGCTCTGCTCTGCCAGCATACATGGAAAATTTAAATATCTAGGAATTACCCAGATGGTTCAGATAGCGGAGTTAATCATAGAATCCCGATAACATATTACTCCGGCCGGATAAGATGAAGGGAACAAGGAGACAAGATTTCTTAGATTTTTCAATTCGCCTGAAATGTCACGTACAGCAATTGATGTTACAGAACTGTTATGCGTGCCATCAATATCTTTTGAAGGCGTTTTTGGGCATGGTTCATCCGTACTCCAATAGAGTGCGTTGCTAGCATAAACATAAACATTGACAATGTTTATCAACACTAGATAAGAAGGAAAAATAAAATGTTGCGGTGCGGAGTTTTCTTGAATTTTTTTAATGCTAAGTCTTGTTAATTTTTACCTGTAATGTTTTTAAGTAGCCATCATCTGAATGATTAATTACTTTTGTACCATGTCATTACCAAGCTGTCTATCAGTTTCCTAATAGGAGAATGATATCAAGATCCTGTACGCTCTGCAACAGTTGTCTATTATTCATATTACTATTGTATTTGACGTAAGTAAACTATTTAATTGCTCTTGAACTCTTTTCTAATAAGTTCTTTGTATCATAAATCATACCGACATATTAGACCCCTAATTCTGCGCTCTAGTTTGCTTTACGAAACTGATCCCTCCGCAGATCATTCGGCAAATAACACCTTCTGATCTCCTCCTCCACTTCCTGCTGCTGATCTTATTCTCTTATTCTAGATGTCCATGTCGCCCTCTTCTTATAAGTACTCAATCAAATACCTGTTGAGGCTCTGCAGTATTTCGCTTATGTCCATACCAAACCAGTTGCCTGGTTTTTATATTGTTCCCAACCCTAATGATTTCATGTAGTTATATGTAATTTCGAACAAGCGCTCTTTGCGAGATTCCTGTAAATCTCTGCCTAAAGTTCATTTTATCATCTCATGCTCCTCTAAATCATTACAACATAAAAACTTGATGGAAGCATTGTTTCATGACTGTTACAGTGTACTGAAATTGAGAACAAAAATGCATTATACTAACCTTGGTGGCTTAGTTTCATCTTAGGTTTGCATTTCTTTTTCTAAGAATATGCCCTCTCTTGTTTCCCTCTAGCTCACAAGCATGGGATTGCGAAGAGGGGGAGTGTAGAATTAGAGTTGTATGCTGCAAACATTGGTTACGTCTGTACCTGCATTTCAATGTTGATTGAATATACAATCTGTATGACTAGTCATGGCAATTTAAATAGGTAATAAAAGATCTTTCAAAATTATTTGTTTGTTTAGTGTGGGAGCAGAATGGCAGGTGAACACGAAACGCTATTGCGACAACAAGGCTACTGCAGCGATTGCCTCTCGGACTCTGACTGGTCTGAAAGTAGTTTATCCTCGTCTTGCAGCACCTCCTCTTCAGATCATTCCTATTATCATGGCAGGTATGTGATACTCTCTTTTCTTATCTGAAAAGACAACCCTTACTGAAACGAGAAAAATTCATCAACAGAGAAGAATAGGAACAGGGAAGCATAGGTATATTCATCTCAAGTGTGATGTCCGCTAATTTCCAAATTTCCTTTTTCTGGAAAAGTAGTACTCAATATTCAGTGACTACTCTTAAAAAAAAAAAAAAAAAAAAAAAAAAAAAAAAAAAAAAATCAGACAGTATCAAGTACATGACAATTTTTTTTTTCGTTCAATCAAGGAGTAAAATTACAGGAAATATGTCATTTCACGCAATGAAATACATGTACCTACCTACCTATTTCAAGTTTCATTGTTACTATACTACCGTTACACCCGCCAGCTAAATGTGTCATGCCAGTAGACTGAGGACTCATGGCGCAAGACTAAGTTTTACAGGGAGTGAAGGATAGTTGGGTCAGATTTGACTTCTTACATTTTTTTGTTGCTGATTCTGTTGCAAGTACCTACCTCAGATCTAATCATTTTGCATGGCTTAAGTGGACTCTTCGGATGTTTCTTTTGAATGTCAAAAATGTTATGATTTGTGAATCGCAGAAATTTGCAAGGTTCAATAAGTAATGAGTCAGTGGTACGAGAACATTTTGTTGAAATATGTCAAAGTATTAAATGAGCTGAGTGCAGAACATTTTTCATAATGGGATCACAAAGGGTAGTTGCTTAATAGTTGAGAGTGGAACTGCCTTGTGACGTTATTGGGTAGTATTTCTCAAATAAACCTGTGTATTTTAACACATCCTTATAATTTTTCATAATTCTAATACTTTGTTTGATTTAAAAACCAAGGACCTTTTCATTTTCAACTCATCAGGTAGTTTTAATATTAAAAAAAAAAAAATTCAACATTCTGAAACCTGCCAGTGACTCATTGTTTATGGTCATCATTATTTTTGAATGCAGTTTCAGAACAGCAACTTCATTCAAGATTTGGTTTAAGATTTTAATTTCAGCTTTTCTTCTTCCTAGCTCCCACCATGAGTGGAAAAATGAAATTATGCCGAACGGTCAGGTCTTTCACATAAGATCTGAGAAACTAACGTTGAAAACTGTCGCTGAAAATACTGCTCAACCAACCACAAATGGCAGAAATGGAAGGGAAAAATCGACCACCGGTAAGACTATGGTCATAGGTGATCCCAGATTTACAATAAATATGTATTAATTTGCTCTCTTGTAGATTTATACATTAACTTATTATATTACCTTAGATTTTCATTCAAAGAGGTCCTCAACATTTTTTAACAATTTTGTTCATGATGATCTAACACACTATTAAATAAATAACAAAAACTAGTGAAATAACATCTGAAGAAAAGGAAACCTCAGTTGTAGGAAATTTGTTTTGTTAAACTTTTGTAGGTATTGAGAAATGAATAAGAAATTGAGAGAGAAACAAATTGGGGTTCCAAATTGGCATTCATCACTTTAGCATATGACCTCAAGTCAAATAATGATACTCTTTAAGTGATAAGTATGCAAGCAAAGTACACAAAATGGTACACACCAATCTAATTATTTAGTAGCCGCATATACTTATTCTCTACCAAAATACCGTAGACTAAACGCTTTTTCCATCATGAAACCATTTGCTAGACTGTTTGTAACTATTGTTTGTTTTTGCTTATCAGAAAAATTCTGCTTTGCTCTGAGTAGTTATCCATTTGTCAGCTTTCATTCTTCATGAAACTCTGATTCTGAATTTCTTTAGATTGGATAATAATTTGTATTAATTTTTTTTTCCTTTTTTTTTCTTCTTCCTCAGAAAAACTGGTGAGACTGATAAGGAGAAGAAACAGTCGAAGAACCAGGAAAAAACATGTTACAGATATAGTCGCAGATAGTGACCAATCATCTGTACCTAAAATCGAAAATGCGGAAGAGTCCAAGGTTTGTTTTTAATTCTATCACCCATCTTTGTTCACTGCCATAGAAAAAGCGTAGCTCCATGTTTGTTAAACGAATTGGGATGGAAAGTCAAAAGTTCTTTCAATGTTCTCTTCAAAAATATCTTGAAATCAAGACAGGTTTTCTCGTTGTAAACTGTTTGAATACAGCTTTTGAATTTATTCATTTTTAGTCAAGTACAAGTTTGATAAGATGAAAAGCATTTTGTTATAAAAATGATCTCCTCAAAAACTGTGTTGGTACTCTTTGGAATTAGATATTAGTGAGTAATTAGCAAAATTTTTAAATTGAAATGAATTTTTGGTAAAGCAAATTCTTGACTTTGCCTTGAAAGATCATGCAATATGCATCCGAGGATGAAAAGAGAAATTTTCCCTCAAATTTACAGGAAGCTGTTGATGAATCTTACATACAGGATATTGGGGCTCACTTATATTAAGAACCATTAAGTGAAAAATTTGTCAAAAAAAACTGTATTGCTTTTCATGAAAGTGCTTGAAGAGCTAAGTTCAGTATTTTCAATTATGATAAAGTATCTTTTAAACATTTTTTTTTGTTTGAGAAAATGGAGAACGATTGATGAAAAACTTAGAAAACTTTCTGCTTTGTTACAACATAGGGTGGTATCCCCCAATTAAATTCATGCATTTTAGTAGATTTGATTATTCTTCCATAATTCCTTCCGTAATTGTTTAATTTAGAAACCGAGGATATTCTTGGGCTCAATTCATTCAGTAGTTTTCATTTTTGAATTAAACTAATCAAATTTTAGACAATTGCTAGTTCTTAATGATGATAAAATTTGATTATCCCAAGAGGAATTTTCCATTGCACTCGCAGATTTTATGCAGTTTAAACTTATTGTAACTTTTGCTGTTGAAAAATTATTTAATTTCTTTCATCTCTCCTTTTTTTAGGCCATAAATTCATCGGAGGAAGTTGTCAGCACAAATAAAGTCAATTACTCATATTCCGATCTACCATATGGAGTAATGTATTTTCATGTGAAAGATATAAATGAAACTAACTGTAGTGACCAAGGTTTAGTCTATTGCTATCCTCGACCCGTCAATGAAAATTTGATTTATAATATAAAAGGTGCTCTAGTGATGTTGTATCAATTACTTTCTGATATAACTGTTTCTCCTCTTACAAGGTAATTTTAATTCCTTTGTACTTATGTACTTGTATGATTATCTCCTTTCAAACAATATTATTATCACTGGAGGCAAACAAGTGTATTATTGACACACTAGTCAAATAAAATTTTCTAATGAGTTCTCTAGTGATTTCAAGTCATCCAAGGTGTGTTTAGCATTTATCAATGAAGGAGGAGTGTCTATTATGGCCGTTTCTGCATCATGGTTTCGTCATTTTTGGTCTAATCATGAATCTGAATGCCGATTTTAGCGGAAAATGTGGATTTTTTTTGTCATTTGACCGTAAACCCGCCAAATCTACATTTAAACATAATTTTTGTATAGAAGTAATTTATAGAAGTAAAAGATATTAATTGTAGCCTTGATCCCTAGATTATTTCTAGGGATCAAGGCTACAATTAATATCTTTTATTTTTAAATCTGCAATTGTCGCCAAAATTGGCTTTCAGTCAGACCCATGTTTAGACCTGAAGTTACCAAATCATGATGCATTCCATAAAGTATAGACCTTCAGTGAGCTAAAAATTGTAGAGTTCAGAACATTCAGAGTGAGCCCAAACATGGCCCTTATCGATGACCCTCCTTAATCTGTACATTTCTCATTGAAACCAACAGTCTTGTTCCAACTAAAGTTTATTGCTGTGATGATCAACTGCTCTTCCCTCACTGTCAATCGTCCAAAAATAATTTGTCTGTGGGTATGATTATAATGTGAGAGTCGAATGCTAATCTGAATGCAAGACTCGTTTTGAAGTCAAATCATGTTTTCATTATTATTCTTTGAAAATAAATGCTGTCCATCCCAAAACTCATTTTTCCTTCCTTAAAACAATATCATCTATCATGGAGACATGATAAGTTGGTCAATTTAATGTGCCCAAGTATGAATAACGAGTAAACAAGGACTAGAACTTATTGAAAAAAGCCTTTTCATAGTTTTTTTTATCTTACCTATATTCTTTTTCTCTTTTTTTCAGCTCGAGTGTAATAGTGAAAAATAATCTCTGTCATATAGTGTTTACCCCTCAAAATTTTGAATTAATGGTCCTTTTCGTTCCAGATTCACGGTAATTCTAACTTTATCAGTATTATTATGTAAATGTCACTGTATCTCATCTTACTTGCTCGATTTTACGCATTTTTATGAATCATTTTTACCATTGAACATTTCTTAAAGCTAAATATTAAATGCAATAAAACAGAACCATGTGCAGAGAGGCATAGTGTAATATGGATTTTATACCAAGACCCTTTTTTGCATTGCCCCATCAGCAGGCAGACTTAGTGGTTACATCTCTCACTGTGTTATGATGTCACACTGCAGTGCTGCTATTTACAAAAGTGCCATATTAAATGGTATCACAATATGCTGTTTCCTCTTGACTGAATCATTGAGTGTATTAAATGTCTGAGAGGCCATGAAAATGTGTTCATAAAATAAGTAACGCTTTAGGAGGAGGGGGGAAGGGTAAATGAGAGTGTTACGCTTTTTTGTTTTTATATGTTAAAGGTTAAAGGATAGGAACCTATGTCACAACAGTACTATGCAAGGGAGAGGGGATCATAAATCCAAAATTTAGAGTTAAGCATTTATAAATGGCCCCTTAGCCGCCGAATTTATCTTTTGTTGCAAGTACTAAAAGAAAAGAATCAGACTTACTTTTCAAAACTCCCAGGCCATGAAAAATTCTAATGTATTCAGGATTGTAACCAGTTGTAACTAAAATTTTCATCAGAGGTCTCATCGTGAAGCTTATTAACTGTACAAGTCACTCAAAGTTTTCTAACATGTATCCTCATATTGTGCTTCAAGTGTCTCAAACAACAAAATTTTAAAATGGAGAAGTACATATTCTGCTAAAGTCTTAAATCTTTTATTCTTTTGATTTCAGATGTTCTCGGCCAGAAGCTTTAGCATTTACAAAAGATGTCGTTTGCTTTCTTCAGTTTAGCTATCAATCGCTGTCAAGGTTAGCCTTTGTCTGTTTCTTTTCTGTGCAGTCATGTTAATTATTTCATTTTCATTTTTTTGGTCCAACTTGGTCCAATTTACATATGAATCTATTTATAAAATACAGATTGAATTTTTCCAATTTTAATTTTTAAGCTCCAGGCAAATCCAGACATTTTGTTGTTACGCAGATTTTCCAGGAACAGTTCATTGACCTTCAAGTTCTTTCTGTTTATGCGATGATTCTTCATTTTGACCATTTTCAAAACATTGGATCCTCCACAGAAAGTCAAGATTCATCTTAAAAATGTAATTACGTAATTAAAGAGCTTTTTAAAACATTTGATTTTAGACATTGTCTCTAAAAAGGTTAATTTGACCATGCTAATGATGTTTCATCAGATGATAGCACATGATTTGATTTTGACTTGGTGAAGTAATCCCGCAGTTCACAATGAGGCTAAGTAATTTTTTTCAATTTTGCAAGTAGTAAGACATCACCATGAAATGAATGATTTCTATTTTCATCGTCAAGAAAAACGCCTTGATCCCTGTTGAGATTTTTTGTCTTCCTTGCATCTTGCTACATCTTGAATTTTTGTTTTCGTTCAGGTTTCAATTCCTCCTCTCATTTTGCTTATAATTCATGGTAGTCAATAATCGGTCTTCGCCTCTTTTTTCAGATGTTTCTCCAGTCCGCAGAACCACGACACACTCGATCATCTATTTTCAGTGATATTTGCTCAGTTACTAAGTAAAAGCTCCCAGTTGTCATCAACAGGTGAAGAAAAGCTGTCTGTTTTAGATTCATTCTCTTGCTCCTTTGAGCAATTTGCGCCAGCGGCTCATCGTTTACCCTTGCCAAGAGATGCGCAGGTAAGACCAATCTGGAGGATGTAAATAAAGGAAATCTGTTGAAATTGTCAAGGAGTAAGCAGGGCTAGGTACTTGTGACACGTTTTCATAGTAGAAAAGATGAAAATTTTCTTGAAATGTTGAATGTTCCGCAAGAAAGGTCTTAAAAATAACAAGTCACAAATCCATCAATCAGGAAATGGACAATACCAACATGTTTACCCAATACTTGTTTTTTACCCAGAAATTTTTGCCCAAATAGTTCCGTGTGAATGAATACTTTGAACATCGTCAGGGAGGAAAATGCTCCATTAAAATTGTGAAAATGTCGCCAGTGCAAAGTTAATGGAATGATTCAAAGAGACCTGATTTTTTAAGCAGCCCACACTAATGTCTATTTTTCCTTTCTGCTCAGGTGCAAATAGATGACGCCCTCAGCGAATTGGAGTCCAATGACTTTAGTGAAATCAGTGATGCTCATTTTGGATGTCAGCGGCTTTACACAATCGTTGGAACTTGTCTTTTCTACAAGGTATTTTTGAAATTGTTCCATCTTTTTTAACGGGTTGAAATTTTAGAAAATGTATGTAGTTTTCAGAGATCAATAATAGTTTTTTTCATTGATTTTCTTCATTCTTGAGACTATAACTTTTTAGCCACTTAATGGGCCTGTTGCAAACTTTTGCTACAGCAAAAATAAGAGTTGTTTTTCATAGAAAATGTCTCAAAAACCATGATCAGCGCATCAGCAAAGTCTGTAAAGCACTCCTTATTTTACAATTTGCATAAGAAATTTGCATTTCTTCAAGCTTCCCGCTTCCAAAACGATACCACAGCACAGGTGAACATTTCGTTAGAGGAGTCATTCCATCCAACCCCTGCTCACAAGGATACTACGCAATATTCATCGAAGCCGATGCCAATCTGCCAAAACACATATAACGGGACGATGATTCTAACCACCTGATAGCAATCTGTGTGTTTACATTCAAACTTGTCTCGCGTTGATAGATATCCGCATGATTGACCTCGTGCTCTCCTCAACCTACGGAAGCGTCGGCCATGTTGAGCAGGGATTGAATGGAACGACTCCTCTAACGAAGTGTTTACCTGTGCCGAAGTATCCTTTTTGAAGCGGAGCTTACAAAAACGCAAACTTCTTTCGCAGATTGTGAAGGTAGGAGTCCGTTTCAGAGTTTGTCGATGCACTCATCGTGATTTTTGAGACATTATCTATTAGAAACAACTCTTGTTTTTGCTCTAGCAAAAGTTTGCAACAGGCCCATTGTCATCAAGTTTAAAGGTTACAAAATAAAAAAACCAGAAAACTTGAAAGAAAAGAAAAAACATCGGGAAAAGCTTTCACTCCAAAAAATATACAACTGAAGCTGTTTTCAGGACCCCTTCAGGAATAAGCCCTAACCGGTGGTTCTATAACCATGTGGGTTTTTTTGTATGTTTAAAATGAAGGTCAGAAGTTGTATATTTCTTACAAATAAAACAAAATCCTTACTTAAAGGTTGATGCATTTATTATTTGTGTCCATTCCAAGACTTGGTGTGCTGCTGATACCTTTTTTCACAACTTTTTGCCTTTTGTAATAATGTACTTTAATCAAGATTTACTTAAACAGAGAGCAAAGCCAAGTTTCATTTTATTGTTTGTATTAAAGTTCTGTGTGGTGCATGCATGTTCAAAGATTTTCTTTGAATCCACTAATTTGAATAAATTTTTCTGACAGAGTTATCTACTAGCCACACATCTGAACCAGGATGATTTGGTAGACGTAGTTTCATTTTGTCGCCACCACAATTTATTGAGGACAGCACGAGATGAAGTCATAAAATCAATGCTTGTCTGGCGAGAGGTGTACCTGAAATCTTGCGACCGTGGAGTGACAAAGGTCTCAAATAACAGCTCATCCTATAAACTGCCTAATGGTCGCTGGTTTCTTCTCGTTGTAGGTCTGGTAAGTTTTAAAAATTTTGTAAAATATTAGAGATTGGTAGTAGTTGAAGGAACCGCAAAGCATAAAAACGAAAAATTGAGTTATGTATATTCGAGCATTAAGTGTTCCGCAGTAAATCTTTGTTATAATGACTTTCTATTTAACAACTTTTTCAATGTAGCAATGATTTCCATCAGTCCTATCAAAATTCCTTTTCTTAAATAACGCAAATTGCAAGCTAAAGAGTGGATTTCAGACTTGAGCCTCAAGAAAATATTTTCTCTTTGCTGTATCATTTGCATTTTAGATACTACATCCAGCTGAAATCATGCATCTACACCTTTGACTTAACAATCCCCTCGTCCATTATTCATCAGTGAGAAAAGTTTTTTCCTTTCATTTTATGCTTCCTTTTGCTGATAATAGGAAAGACCCATACTTTCAAAATTTAAGCACATTAACCAAATTAGTTTTTCAAAGCAGATAATTCTCAAGCATCTATTTTAAATTGTCTGTATTATTGTAACAGGGCCATGAAATGTTGGCGGTTTTGCTGGAGTCAGGCGGCTGCACAGTGAAAGCACCTGAAAATCCATCTCCAGATCCTTTTTACGTCAGGCAGGCCCTTGAAACACTGGAACATATTATTAGAACTGGAGTCATATCGCTGGTTGAGCAGTCGGTGCCACAGCAAGATGTAATGCACGGTCTGGCCTCAAAATTGTCCTCTAAATCTGCCGATAGCTTGTTGGCATCTCATTCAAGTAAGTTTCCAATTTCTGGAAAGGCTTAAGTGACAATGGCTCCCTGAAAATGGCCATCTACAAAGGTTTCCTTTCGCACAGCAGGGCATTACCTTAAAAAAGATCTTCAGAAAAGGCCCCCTGAAAATGTCACCCTAAGAGTCTCTCTCTGCCAATAGGTTGAAGTTCTTTAGAAGGGGGGAAGGGAGAAGAAATTAGTGGGTGAAGAAGTATATTACAATTTTGTATCAAAGCCACTGCCTCTAGGGCATCATTCTCGTCACTTTAAATTGAACTGAAGAATCGAATTTCTATTATTAGCCTCAATAAGGTCATTTTGTAAGTTCACAAATTGAAGCTTTAGAATTTTGACTTTTTTGGACTTCAGCTTCTCGTTCCCTGAAAATTCCGTACTTAAGGCTATAAGCCTGCACAACCGTGAAAGATAGCTCATGAGGAAATGATTTTCTTCTCAGATTTCCTAAGTATGAAACATTCAGACCTGGGCTCGGCAAGTAGAATATCCGCTGAGAGAGTATCTCTAACAGCATCTTGTGGGGGAGAGGACACGTCGAGCAGCATAACGAGTGATGTTGGATCAGCAGCTCCCGGACCAGTACTCGGCCGACGCGCTTTAAGAGAAAAGGCCCTGTCTAGTTTTGGCGATTCCAACAGTCACCACTTTGATTCAGAGTATGACCTCTCTGATTCAGACCTCACTCCTGTAAGTTCCTTACAGTTTTTTCTAGCACTCCTATCACTTATTCACTCATGAAAAAATATTTTTTTAACTGCAGTTGAAGAGCAGGATTGAGGAAATCCCAAGGGTAACCAAAATGGAATTTCGGCAAACATATGCAGGGATTTTAAAGAGGGAGTAAGTCGTAATGAAAGCCTGGATGAAATAATGAGGAATAAAATGATTTTTTGCATAGTATCTGGATTGGACAATTGGCTGGGTATTGACCCATGTGCTCTTTACTAAGAACCAGCATCAAATTTTGTGAAGAAAAAGTCATTTCATAAGTCAATGAAGCCACCTTGCCCAATTTACAGACTTTTTGTTTGCAAAATTCTTATTTTTAAAAGCACTTTTTACACCTTTCGATTTTTGCAGACACTTACTTGGGGGAGGCCAGTTGTGCAGTCGGAAGTTTCTGCACCCCTGGTTTGCCAGAAGTCTCACCAGTCAGATATTGATCCTTTCATTGATATACATTTCTGCTCTCAGTATCGTAATTTTCACTAACAATGTGTTATATTGCAACTTACTCTAACCATTATGGAAGTTGTCAAAATTATTAATGTATAGTCATTAATGTGTAAGTCACCATTCTTTGTTTTCTAGAATGAGTTCGACATTTTGAACAACAAGTTTAGTCTTAAAACTATTCCAAATAATGTATTTTCAATCATTTGGCATTTCTCTAATCGTCAGGGAATTTCACCAAAATTGTCAGGGAAATGTCAAGGAAATTCTTTTTTCAAATTTTGTGGCAACTCTGCACATGTCCTAATTCATCAGGTTCTTTTTTTCATTTGCAGTCACAGACGGATTTGGCAAATTTGGATTCCAGCTTCATTTCAAAAAGTTCTATGAACAGCAATGAGTCAAGTTTGCCGTTTAGGTAAGAACATTTTTGTTTCAACATTTTTAAAAAGAAATAAATTCATTTTTTTCTGTTGCCTCCGAAGATGAACTTTAGAAAATAGGTCTTTGTGTTCAGCTGAAGCATAAAAGAAGGAAAAAATGCACAAAGAAGTAATTTACAGGGTGATCTAAAAGTCCTGCACCACTAGCACCAGGCATCAGTGCATCACTCCTATAACTTTGAGGGATTCGACTTTTTGTGAGTGCTCTCCGGTCAAACGAAACTACTTTTAGGACCTTCAAAAATTTTAAGGGTATCTCCCTGAAAAGGGACAAGAACCATAAGGGTGGTGAGGGACTTTTGGATCACCCTATACAATAATATGAGAAACCAAAGATTTTTGGAATTTTAGCATTTTCCAGAATGTTATCAACTCTCTCTTAAACGAAATCAAATTTGAGGGAAAAACCTCCAGCATTTTTCAAAGATAGTTCCCCATCTTTATTCTCTATCCATTTCAGTTCATTTTATTTTGTAAAGACTCAGCATTATTTGATTTTATCTCCAGGATAAGTACGGTCGACGCCAATCATTTATTCCACTTCATTCAACTTGATCGAGCAGAAGGAATCCTGTTGTCAAGATCGAATTTAGCAGGGACAGGCTCATCTCAAAAACTAAGCTTTGTCATAAATAACTTCACCAAGTGCGTTTACAACATTCAACGGATATTTGAGAATAGCATCAAATTCAAACGAATGAACGGATTGGAGGTTAAAGGATCTGTCATGAATAACTCGCTCATTGCAATCAAAGAGCAGGGTATTCTCTTTGAGTATCCCCTCAATGATAGCGATTCGGAGAAGAAAGTCATGTTAACGTACTGGGTCGTTGGGTAAGATAATTTAATTTTTTTCATGATCCTTATAATTGAGGACACCGCACCAAGAACAGCCTATAACTGGAAACCGCATTTTGAGAAAAACGCATTTAAAGTTTTGTTTTTGATGTACTGCGCAGACTTTTCTATGCAGGTACCCTGTTTTGGTGTTTTTGGGTGACCTAACCCTTCTATTGAAGGATGCCGGGTAGATTTTGCGATACATTTTGGGTTTACACTCTAATATATTTAATTTAAAAAAGCGGTTTATAGGTCGTTATTACGTCCAACAGTCATTTTGGTGGCAATATGACGTATAAATCATTTTAATCACGCATGATTAACGCAAAAGGAAAGAATATCGATAGTGAGTAAAGAGAGGGGTAACTAGCACCTTATAGGCCCTTAAGTTTATGGGCCTGTATTACGCCCAACAGTCATTTTGGTGGCAACATGCGAAGTATATATTTTTGGAGGAATGGCTAGTTTGAGAGGAGAAATTATTTCAATAGCTCGTTTTTCTGAAATAAAAACAAATCTTTATAAAATGAGCTAAAAAAATCGAGCCATCACTGTCGCCGCGCCGCGCCGATGCCCGCGAACCGAGAATGATAAGGTCGCGCGCATAGGTCGTTCTTGCACCCATCGATCCAGAAGCCTGACTTAACTCGGAAAAAAAAGGTTTTTCGACCTCGAGCCGTTACCTATCTATATTCTATCGCCACCACAGCATAGTCCAGGGTACGTAGAATCCGAAAAGCAGATGGGCGTAATAACGACCTATACGCCTATAGGCTGTTCTTGGTGCGGTGTCCTCAATTGTGGTGTCAAAATTTAAATGGGGGAAGAATGTTATCATTCATGCAGCCTGTCTATCAAAAATCAGTGACAATGCATTTGGTAGGCTCGGTAATATCCCTATGTTTATCTGACCAAATCACATTGTAGACTCTTCTGTGAATTTTTTGAGCCGACCTCATACGGTGTAGGAAAAATGGAAAGGCAAAAAAGAGCGAATTGCTGTAATTACTCTGTTGTAAAACCCTTTCAAATAGGAGTCCAAATAATGAGACAAATTGGAAACAAATGAATATTTAATCAACAAAAAAATTAATAACAATCAATAACAAATTTAAACAATTTGTACAGAAAAAATAGAAAAATACAGAGCTGACAAACAGTCTCTAGCCACAAAGTGCTCTGCAGAAGGTGGTTTGTACTATTTTCATCAACAAATTTATTTAAAGTGTAGAAAGTGAAAATTTTTTCTAACAGTGCATGATTTGTTTTTATCTTTTATATCATGAAAAGGCCTTATCACAGACTTTATTTAGATTTCTCCTTAAGTCCTCTAAAGTCAAGGAAAGTCAGGAAAATAGGAAAATGATGACATTATGGAATTCTGACTCAACAAAATTTTAAATGAAAATCAAGGAGCTTCAGTGTTGATTGTTCTTTTCCTTTTTTTTCTCGAGATTGTCAACTAATCCAAACCATGTAACCTTTTCAGGCGGTTGTTCTTCCTCCCTCATCCTCGGGAGATATATGTCTGCTACGAGGACACTGTACCACAAAATATGGTCGAGATTGCTTTCCGAATCGCTCTTAGTTGTGTCAGTTGATGAGTAAAAATGATTGAATTTGCAAAACCATCTCAGTTGGGAGCGTGTCTCACAGGCATTGCCATGTACAAAGTAATTTCCAACTCATATTGCAGGCTGCACAGGACCTAGTTTTACTTGGTCTTTTTGAGAACTATTTGCTACGAGTTACTACGTTAAAAAGGGTAAATAAATATTGTACGGTTCTTTGAAAAGGATTTAAATGCATAGAAAAATTTAAGACAATATCCATCTGTACAGAGAAATTAATACCAAAGGTATTTTCTTTTTAATTTGTCATTGTTTTGGCTCTTTCTTGATATTTACCACCCATGACTAAGTATTAGCAATGCAGCATTCTGCTTCTGAAAAATTTCGTTGTTCGTGCCTTGAAACTTGCCATATTTGCCAAGATAGTTTGTAAGACAACATAAAAAATATAGTGGTATGAATACTCAGGACAAATGAGTGCCTTAAACTTTAGTGCCGTCCATTTTTGATTGATGATAATTTTCCACTTGTAAAATTAATTGTTCAGTACTATTTTTGTTAACTGTGCCGTCCAAATAACTTTATACCAAGATACAACAGTTTCACTGAAACTAAATAAAATTTAAAATTTCAATCTTGTAGTCAGTTTGTTTTCTCCTCTTTCAGAAGCTCTGACGCCTCCATAGTTCAAAATAAGGAGCTCTATCAATAATTAAATGTTACACAGTTAAATTAGTAACCTATTTTTTTTTTTTTTTTCTGCACAAGTTATATTTTTTACATAAACGTTTAAAAATCCATAAGTTCAGTACTAAATAAGGTGCAACTTACACTTTTTTGATCATGGGAAATTTTTTAAATGCTACAATTCTTAACTTTTCTTAAAAAAAAATTGATTTGTCACAAAATTAATAGGTACCAATGAAAAAAAAAATTATTTAAAAAAAAAAAAAAACAGGAATACATTTTTGCTTACACACTACAAGTTCCTGTAAGTGACTAGCCACTTTTTCTTTAGAGTGCCTTTCGGCAACTTTAATTTACTAGAGAGAATAACAAAATAAAAACCTTATTACCCTTGCAGGAGAAGATTAATTAAAATGAAATAATGTTCATAATATAACCCTATCTCCTCTTTTTCGACTAGATTAAGCTATATAAGAAGGGAAAAACTGAGCAAATTTCTCAGCAGCTTCAGCCTTCGGACTTTATTTTGAAACATTCTTTCTTTTAAAAAATTCTGCTACATATGAATTCTCATTTTTTAGAACTTTTAGTGTTCTAGAGAAGTACAAAAAAAGTGCATGAGACTTTCATATAATCTTCTTCAACCTTCATTAGCTGCTAGAATTGTACTTCCTTTGAAGTGATTTTAAGGAATCCCAGAGCACCATGGTGAGAATACTGTAAGGACCTATTCGAAAGTAACAAGGGATCAGTCCTTTGTACAGTCCAAAGATCCCCTCTTTTTTCAATGTTTTTATGGCACAGTCCACTCCATTTTTGTACAATAATCCTTTTCCATTTGCATCTAAACCTGAAAAAATTGTAAAAGTAGATTAATTGTTTCCATAAAAAAATATCACTCACTGTCACTTGCAGTGTAAGAGTATGATCATAATAATGTATGATAAACTCAAAAGTACGCACCTTGATTACAAAATCTAGTTGAGATAACATCGACAGGGGTGATAGCAAGAGCAGTGACAATCCCACCACCAAACGCCGCAACAACCGTGTGGCTCATTCCTCCAAAATTTGGGAGCACCTAAAATAAAATACAACTTTTTTCATAAAGATAATAGTGAGTGCAAAATTGCAGACAAATTTTTTCGATTTTTTGGGCAAATTTGTTTCTCAATCAAAGACCTGAAAGTGAAGGTCTTGCTTAGAAAACCACCCATATGTCCCGAGACATTTTGATTTTTGAGAAGAATATCAGCCCATATGTCATATAAAAGTGTTCCAAAATTTCCTGATTATCTTCTTCATTGGTTTCCTTTTTGACAAAGAAAACATATAATTAAGGAAGAACCAAGAATTCACGATAGAATTGAGTGCAGAAAGTAGAAAGGTCACTTTTCAGTTGCTGTTTTTCAGAATTTCCACGCTTATTTAGATTTTAGAGGGGAAACTATTGACAGAATTTGTTTAACTTTTTTGCTTCTAACGCATTAAATAATCATAAAGAATGCTTGGGAAAAGTTTCAGCCCATTACATACAGTTGTTTCTATCATCATAGCTGAAATATGAGAAGTGCCCTTACTGCATCCAGCACTTTCATTGGGCAGCTTTGGAAGCAAGAAATTCACAAAACAGAACTCTATTCCTGCCGGCACACATGCTCTTCCATCATATCCATCCAACTTAACCTACTTGATGAGTTGGGCCTCAAACTTGCATAGAAAGAAGCTTCAAAGCTCACCTGTTAAGCATTTAAAATTATATTTCAGTACTCATTAATTGTCAGAAAATATTTTTTTATCCTAATAATGTTATCATTATTCAGAGAGTGGATCAAGTTTTTTCACTGAGTTATTAAGTATATTTTAGCTCAGTGACAAAATAGAAATAGTTCTTTTAAGTAAAATGGATCAAACGAAAATTTTAGTAAGTGTTCAAAAACTCACCCTTCTCTCTTACCTTTTGTTTTTTTGCTTGCAATTCTGCAAAAAATGAAGGAAAGGGAGAGGAGTGACTTTTTGAATACTTAAATTTTTGTTTTATCTGTTTTACATATCAAGTCTCTCCCTATTTCTGACCAAGTTCCTTACTCTACAGTCAATAGTTTCTTTACCTCATGATTTTTCAGGTACTGTTTCAGCATGGTGAATGTGGGAATCTGAGAGGAAGATGCAACAGCTATCCTGAACATGATAAGTGGATAACCCCGCCACAGGCCTTTGATACCTTGGTTTGAATAAATGTCAACAAAAGCTCCTATTGTTCCTTTGTACCGATGTTGGTACCCAACTGCAATAGCCTCACTAGATTTGACTTGAAGGCGAGTTTTGACCTAGAGCGCATCATAAGAAAAAATAAGTGACGAAGCATAAAATCAGCCAAAATGAAAATTTTCGTTATTAGGAAACATTGTTGATGCAAGGTACTTCATAAATTCTAAGTTTTTGTAATTAATTTAGACAGAGATATAAGAAAGAATAGGTTTTTTTTTTCAGTATTATTCAAGGACCCCTGTAGAAAGCATACAGTAGATTGCATTGATACTTTGCTTGGTAGAGTGGTCAAGCAGAAGATGTTATTCTTTCCAGGCTTACTATGACAAATTTATGGATTGTGACAAAGGAATCACAGTGACGCAGTCACCAAAACTGCAGGGCTTGGTTTGGCTGCACCCGATGTAGGTGAAAGTAAAAAACTTCATCGTTTTTGAGTCCTACACTCTGTCTGCTTCGCAGGGGATACAATTTTTTTATAATGACTAATTAACTTACTAGGTAAAAAGGAGTGCTCATAAAACCTCCTACACATCCACCGGCCACTGATATTGCCATGGATTTGAGAAGGGAAGTATCACCCACACTGTTATTACTCCCTTTCTTTGCTATCCACTTCCGATCTTCGGCAACTTGAAACAAGCCTAACCTACAGCCACCGAGTACAACCTGGTATGCCATGGCAGGAGGAAGTCCTTTCTGGAGAGCGAGCAGACCATCATTTTTTGCAATAGTATAGAAAGCATGGATGATGTTTTTGTAATGCACTGCGTATTGTCCTCGCGCTTTCAGCTCACCCTGAAGTTGAAAGCGGCACTTGACCACCTCCAAGGGGTTAGTAACACAGACAGCAAGTGCTCCAGACAACCCTCCGATGAGGAATTCCATGGCACTTTAAAATATTCAGAAATAAACAGCTTTATCGTTGGTTGCAAATTCTGGCACAGGTGAGGAGTTGCAACATGTGATCTCATGGAGTTTTATCGCGATGACATCTGGAACTGACACAGCCACATATAATTATGATGCGTAAAGAGTAATTTATGACGAAATTTATTTTGAAAACCGCAGTTTTACAATAAGAACACGTTGGACGAATCGATGACTGATAACAGATATGAGATGAGATAAGAAATTTAGTAAACATAACCTCTGGAAACAGTTCGAATTGCTACATTTTCCCAATTATTCCTCTTTTCGAACAAAAGGAATCTTAACGGCAAATTCTGAACCAGACGCTTTGATTGGTCCAGAGCGGTTCATTCCATTTATTCCGAGTTGAACCAAAATAAGCGGGAATTTCAAATAATTCCGGATATCCTGTTTACCTAATAGTTTCCGTTTCCGGTACAGCGGTGTTGTCAATTTTATTTATCAATGCTCGGAAAATTGACAACACTGTTAACCGGAAACGGAAACGATTTGGTAGACAGGATATCCGGAATTATTTGAAATTCCCGCTTGTTTTGGTTCAACTCGGAATAATTGGAATGAACCGCTCTGGACCAATCAAAGCGTCTGGTTCAGAATTTGCCGTTAAGATTCCTTTTGTTCGAACAGAGGAATAATTGGAAAATATGAAGCGCCGTGCGTTCAGAAATTTCATCGTTTGATCCGTTTGATCTCCTGAACAATCTTGAAAAGTGTGCTGATTGGCTGATGAGTCTTATGACGTTGTAAACCTCCAACTTACAGACAGACGGCTACATAAGAAAATTTGCCTATTGTTTATTTTCCAACGAATTTGTTTTTTTAGGCCTCCAATGTTTTGACAACTTCCCGCCATCCTTCCTCTGCACGTTTTTCTTCCTAGATTCAAATTCTAAATGATTCGAAATAGAGAATTCTCAATCTTGGCTCGGCTTCATTGAATGTGTAAAATTTAGTGACTTCCATTCAGTCAGGAGGCTTTAGGTCATCCAAGGTATGTGTTGTTCCTTCCTTCATTCTTTACAAGGGTATGCGATCCTTCCCATATATTAAGGCTATTTGCGCATTGCTATGCATTCACATTTTTCTTTGTATCAAACAGACAGTTCACAGGCACAGTTTCCTGTGCTACAAATAAAGCACTTAGCAGTACCCTTTGATAAGATTAGGTCTAATAGGTTCATTTCCATCAAGGTGATTCTTGATTCGTCGAACTGGCTTGCAATATATTGCATCGATTAGGTGAAAAATCTTTGCAGATTTTGAATTTTTAGCCAAAATAAGGAAGATAGCCCGGGCGCATGAACCTAAAGAATCATTCTAAACCCAGAAATTGGCAAAATTTAGGGAAATGAGAGCAGAGTAGAGTTGGGGAAAAAACCTTGGATTTGATACAGAAATATATCTGAATATTTTTGAAGCCTTGGTGATGCTTTCTCATTTGTTTATACTAAAGCAGAACTTGCGTCAGGTAAGTTGACAGTCGTCTACTTTTGACTGTCAAGTCCTATAGATGACTTTGTGTATCAGCGCACAGTTGCACTGTCAATCCTCCATTCAATTATGACAATGGCAGAGCAGTTACTTGCAAATAGAAAGTAAACAATTGCCTTATTATCTGATTAGAGTCTTTAGACTGCTTTAGTGAAGCGTATTGCCTGAACGCTTTTGAAACATTAGTTCTCTTGGAGGCTTATCTCCATGACATACCGAAAGCAATGTGCCCTGTATGTGCAAACTAAAAGATGGTCCAGAAGTGCTGTGAAAACTTGAATGTTAAAAGGATGTGGTCAAAATTATTCTTAATCCTCTAAATTTTCAGTGACTTGTGGAAGTGTAATCAACTTTCAGTCAGTCACAATAGAGCTTGCAATTTCTTAAAAGAAGTGTTTCCAGTGAGTTCAATGAATTTCTCCTAAACTTGTGGTTTTTTTCATTTCAGTCACATGTACAAATGTCGAAAATAAAAAGGAGTCGCTCTCAAAAGGCTACCAACACAGGCTCCCCCACGAACACGATTGACAGATATTTTTCACCCTCTCCGAGAAATATCGCAGTGAATAGTTTGAATTCACCTTTAGAGGATCTCACTCTCAGCAGTCCAAAAAAAAAACGCTCCAAACTAGCTGGATCAGTTGATGCCTCTCCTAGACTACCACCATTCCATTTTTCATGCCCAAATGTGAATAAAAACCAGTCATCACCTACCAAAAGAAAGCCATCAACGCCCACAAGTTACTCCAAGAAGTCATCCCCAAAGAAATCGGTCAGAGCTCTTTTTCCAACTCCAAAAAGAAAAAGATCCGATGTGGATGACAGTAGCTCCTCTGCAAGCAATTTGAAAATCGACTTAAACGCCAATTTAGCGAACGTTTCACCAATGAAAGTTGATCCCCGCACTAGTCCTAGGAAAAAAGCAGGTACTCTCAGTGCGGAAAAATTTTTTATGAAGAGTGATGATGTTCATCGTGATGAGCACTCATCCGAGTCTGATGAAGAGCCCGAATTCAAAGGAGAAAATGCATCACCAACTATTAAATTAATGGCCACAAATTCCTGCAATCATGCTGTTTCTGAAGCAGTCTCACCAACTCCTAGGCGAGAAGGTTTAAACTTCTTTAGAGATGTGGCATCTTTTATTCGTGAGAAATACCACAATCTGGAGCGACGTTTAAATTTCAGCTTCCCTATCTGTGAGAACAAAGAGCTCACTGAAAGAGTAAGTTGTTTCTTTTTCCCTTTTTCTTTTCTTCTCTTTCTGAATGAAACTCAAGTTATTCAAAGGCTGCATAGTATCCCTGTTCACCACAGAGAACATGAGTAAGAGTGAGGTTCAAATTTCTGAAAAAATGCAAAAACCTGTAAGCCTACTGCAAAGAGTAGTGCATTTTAATCTGCACATTTTTAAATGGTGCATTAAAATTTTTAAACTTCCTGGAGTGAGAACAAAAAGAAATTTTTTAGTAACTTCTCAAGCAGATATTGTTTTCATTTCATTTTCATAAAATGAATACCTAAAACAACTGATCATACTATAATTAACTATGAATGATGAAATCTGGCCCCAGGGTTGATTTTCTAACATGCCGGTGTGTGTGAAGCGAAATCTTCATCAGAATATCAGAGAGAAATTTTGTTTTAATATCCATACTCTAAACTGGCCCTCAGAGTAACCCAGTAATTTGTGCAACTTAACGAAAATTTAATCTAATTTTTTGGTCATATCAGGAACGTGAGAGTGCTGCAGTTGCTGAGTCGCTCATGGCTGTCATCCAGGTCGACAGTTTTTCTGACGCAGGGATCGACCTGACAGAAAACTTTTTATCTGAAAGAAAATACCTAAGTTGGCAGCTTTTGCGCCACATTGTGTATTTTACAATGAATTATTGCAATGATGAAGACTGGATAAAGTGTTTAAAGATATGCTTCAATCAATTAGCGCTTCACCCTCCTGTTTCATGTGACATGCGCCAATATTATTTATTATTACTGGATCATGAAGAAGAAATGAATGTAAGTATTATACCTCTTCATCTTTTTATAATGAGGGTGTCTCCTAATCTACTATGATTAGGAACCCTGTAAAAAATGTTGAATTTGCAGAAATGGTTTAGAGGTATTCTGCATTTAACCATTAATATTCTCCTTTAGTTTAACTTTAGTAATGTAATTCATTCTTTAAAAGAGACAAGATATGAAAATCTTTTGCTCTACTTACATGAATGGCCCTCCTCTAATATTTTGTCGCTGATTTCATTAAAATGTCAGAATCAAGGTGTGGCAGGTAAGTTCAGCTCTTTAAGCTTGATCTAAATCATGTATATCAACACGCAACACCTAATTGTTTGAAGTTTCTCTCCTCTAATAGAGCTACAAAACTATATGAGCTGATCTGAATGCTTTACTTGAAGGAAGGCAATTCAATTTTGTCATCAGTAATTTGAAAATGCATACCAGTTGAATCTGACTTCTACAAACATTTTGTTGTACTTTATGTTATTCTATAACCCTTCAATTCTTCTAGTTTTCTCAAAAATCTCAAAAAGGGTTTCTGACCTATCTAATGGAAGAACTGTCGGAGAGGTACAAGTACACCTCTCCAGCAAACTGTAAACGAACAAGAAAGAAAAACCCTAAATACTCAGATTATTCAGAAATAGATGAGGATTTTGAAGATGAGCAGAAAGGAAAAGGAAAGAAAGGAGCAATAACACCACAGAAAGGGAAGAAGAATGAGAAAAAAATAGTCTCATGGCTTTCAACTGATGATGATGAAATTGATAATGTAAGTATTTCGTTATTTTTAGCCTTTGATTTCATTTATAACTACAGTAAAACTTTGATTTAACAAATTTCTGGGGACTGGCGATAAAATTTGTTCAAATCGAAACCCACTAAAAACCCGATTTTTGAACGGGAAAACCCCTTGAACCAACACGGACAACAACGCGGGCGAAGATGAACATGCTTTTCCCAACGTTGTATCAGGCGCGTAGTGTAGAGTTTGATTTATATGGTAAAGATTGTACTCGGACCGAAGATTTCCTTCGTTAAACCGAATCTTCATGAAATGGATTTTAATTTTCATTGTAAAGATCGGGATTTTTTTGGGACCGCAACAAAATTTGTCAATGGAGATTTTGCATGCAAATTTTTGATTACTTCATCCAGAAGTGCTTAAAGAGCTGATTTCACAGTATTTTCTATAATTTTTTTCGAATATGGGAAATAGTATAAAGATAGATTTAAAAATCAGAAATTGCACCGCCTAGTGACGTCATCTTGCGGCATTTCCCATTTAAACACATGTATTTTAGCAGATTAGATTATTTTGTCTTATCTTCTCCAATAATTGTTGAATTCATGTACCAAGGGTATCCTCGTGTTCAGTTCACTCAGTAGTTTCCACTTAGACACGAAATTCATCATATTTCAGACACCTGCAAATTCTCTATTCGAAGAATTCTCATGTTTTCTCAAGAACTCTCAATTTCAGTAGCATCCTGGCTAATAGGTTTTCTTGTTTATCTCACCCAAACACAGTGTAAACTCCTAATAGAAGTCTTTTCTGCAAATTTTTTGAACCAACCTTCTATAATCTCTATTTTATTGTCAATCCCAGTCTTCCCTACATCAGAATTTCTTCAGCGGAAGTAGTGACACTAAAATTATCATTAACCTTAGTTTGAATTAAAAGGTTGATGTTGGTGGAATCTGCTGCTGACACTTTTCCATTCTCTCAAGTAACTCTTGTTTAGGGTTTCGGAAAAAAAGGCATTTTTAGGCCGATGAAACCCAAATACGGACCTCTTCAGTAACTGTAGAAACTCGTAACTCCTGAACAGATACTTCCCTGGACAGGTGTTGCAAAGCCTGCGTAGCGAATTTAATGTGATGGGCTCTCTATACAATAATATTCCTTATCATCATCATGCAAATCATTGCCCCTCCAACGTTAGGGCTCATGTCACATGCTATGTGAAGCCTAATTTATGTACAAATTCCTGCTTGCTTAGGCCCATACTGATATCAGAATATGCCCTTACGCCAAAGGAGCGACGAAATGACCATAGATGAGAAGGGTTTTGAAGGGTCTGAAATATTATTTGTGATCAATGATTTCTCCTTGCATCACCTATATCTCATTGTGTACCATGTATTTGATTTAAAACTCTGTTTTAAACACTATTCATATTTAAAAACATAAGTTTTACATCTTATACCCATGCTGAAGATACATTAATTGAAAGTATTTCAACAGTTACAGTGGACTCCAATAATGTTGCGTTCTTGTTTGTAGGCAGTCAGCTCAATGAATTTTTCTTGTTTAAGTCTCTAGTCTATGCGATACTAAGTATTCCTTCTTTGTTTTAGAGTGAAATCAATGAGACACTTCAGAATGCCATTGATGATGTTGGGAGAAAGCAACAGAAGATTCTTGGCCGTGAAATCCTAGAAGAAAGGCAGTTGCAATTGTTTGATTTTGTGATAAGAATTTTACAAGTTGATTTTCTGGTAAGTCCTGATTATATTCAAATCTGTGTCTCAGTCACTGTAGCTGAATTGAGATTCGTTAATTATGGAAATATTTCCATTCTTGATCACAGATAACTATTGAGAATCCAACTCAAAATTCGGAAAAGAGAACAAACGGTCACAAAACAAGAGGGAGGTTAAAATTTTTATTTTAATAATATTCAAATCATTTATTTTACTCCTCTTTTTTCTCATCTCTTATTCTCGGTTTATTAAGTTTCAATTCGTAATCTAGTTTTTCAGAGGCCCATTTTGTTTTTTGCCTTGTTCGGTCCAGTGTGAACTCAAATAGATGGTGTGATCTCATGTGACTCTGAAACATCTGAACTTATTTTTTGGTGGTCCAAATTCCTCAAATGAATTAGGTTCCTGAGGTCATATTTAAGTATGAGTTTGGATGAAACTGCTTCCTAATTTTTCGGAGAGGCTCTTAGACTTGGGTACAGTTTTTTTTATTAGCTCTGCAGCGTAGTCAAAGTTTGAGGTCGGCAGGGAAGGCCAGGCCCTTCTGTGGCTCCATCAGGCAATGGGTCAGTTGAGTTGCTGGTCACAGAATTGTGTTTTGATGCTTTACTCTTGCAGATCAACTAAAAATAATAAGATATGTCTAAACAGCAACTTTTTTTGTTCGATATTAAATGAGATATCGCGCCTCAAAAAACGCGATTTATGACGTCATCCACCGCTGTAATACATACTATGTTATGCATTACCGCGGTGGATGACGTCAAAAACTTGACTTTTCAAAGGACGATATATCTGTTAATATTCAACGTAGAAAATCGCTGTTTGGACTGATCTTCATACTTTTAGCTAATATACAAGAATCAAGCATCAAAACACGATTCTGTGACCAGCGCAACTGAGCCATTATGACCCAGTGTATCCACTAAGCCGCTTTTAGACTTTAAAGTGACAACACACGTTTACGCTTGGACTATGCATTCAAACCCAAAAGTGCTCCATTTAAGCCTATTAAGAGCTTTCATTGCAAAAAATGTCAGTCAAGGGTAGCTATATTACCCTCAAATTTCGAAAGTTTTTTTTTCAGACCAAAATACATATAACTTTCTGTAAGCATTTGAAATTCAAAATTTTCCTAATTCAGACACCCTCAAGCTTCTTACCATAAAATATCTAGCATCATATTTAGCCTGGCAACAGATGAGCTGTACCTAATTAGAAAACAAATTCCTGTTACGATGTCACTAAACAAGGTGTTTGAATTTAAATGTTCCAATTCAACTCTTTAATTTCTTGAAAAAATTCGCCATATTTTTCAGAAAAGACACAAATCTTTGAAGAACCTAACGGAACTGTTTGACGTTAAGCCTTAAAGTTTCCGTAGAAATATGACCTTTCAAATAAAGACTTATTCTGCTAAGTTGTAAAAGTCAATTTAAGTGTTTCGATCAATCTTTTCTCAAATTTCAGGAATGGAGCAAAAAATGGGGTCTCAATCGCCGAGAAAAACTTGTTTCTACACATGAATCTCCTCTAGTTGCAACATTGATGTGGGATAGATTGCTAGGATTCAGTGCAATTTCACTGCGCATCAAAGAAGTCTTCCATTTTTATGTTAATTCTGAACCGCAGCATCGAAAATATTTTGAAGTAAGTGAAAAAATACCCTCTTTCTTTTAAAAATTTCAATTTATCATGCCCTTGTTTGTAATGATATCAATTTTGGTTTTTGGGGGTGGCTTGTTGGAAAAAAACGAACAAAAATTCAGTCCCTATTGATAAATGAAAGTTACCTACATCCGATGTCAACTGTTTGATGGTTTGGAACAACACATTACCCAGTACTTAGGTCTGTTGTTGTGTTTGGTCTAAAATTTGATGAAATTTTTCATTCCCTAATGGATCAGTTACTTTTTTTTTTTTTTTTTTTTTTTTTTTTTTTTTTTTTTTTTTTTTTATTATTATTATTATTTTTTTTATTATTATTTTATTGTGTCCTTTGAAATAGTATAAAGTGAGGTAAGCTTATTGTTTTGACCTTTCCTTTTTTTTGGTAAAAGTAACCAGATGAAAAATGCAAAAATTGAGGGTAGCCATAAACAGGGTCCGAAATGTATGCTCGTTGCTGTTGAGTTCACGCATCACAATCAATATGGCAACAGAATCCATAGTGTAAGAATATCTTTCCAAGTCGCAGTGTGTTGGTGATCAGTATGATATTATAAGTTAAGCGGTGCGATTTCAACAAGTTCAGCTTTCAGCTAATGTACTTACCAGATATCTTCATTGCCGCATTCGCCAACATCCTTTCTCTCAGAATGTTCTAACGATATCACAACACTACACAACTGACATAACTTCAAACGAAATGTCAACAATGATTTAAACGACAGCATGGTCCTAGGGCCAAATCTTCTGAAGCTTAGTTGACCCATTATTTTGCTCTTGCCAAACTGAAAACTACTTTTTGTACTGCCTAAAGCAATAATCTAATCACTACTGAGAATTTTTAAGTATGAACTATTAATTTTTGGGAACCTCTACAATCAAACCATTTTCTCCTTTGCTTCACCATTTGAATGAATGGCCTTTTTGACTGAACTTTCATTATTTGCCCATGCTTCTTCATTTAGCAACCAACATGACCATCACATCAGAGCCTTGAGAAAAAATAATGGAAAAAAAGTTCCTAACATGTTTTCAGGGGGAAAAAAAGTATTTTGGTCTCCTCATTTAATTTATTTTTTTAGCCGTTAGAAATCTCTCTTGTTCTAATGAAGTGTCCTGCAGCCACATTTTTAGTCTACATACTTTTAAAGCAATGAGGAGAATCATGTCTTGAAAAGTATGTCAATGAAATCCCTAGAAGTCTCTAATGTCCATTGAAAGTAATTTGTAAGTCCAATCATTGAAACTTCATTTTTTTTTCTTTGCAGAGATTTATCACTTTAATGGTAGAGGTGATGAGGATATTTGATGGAGAGGTCACCAAAATAGATGGGGCGTTATTTCTGAATTTCCCGCATAAAGGTGAAATGCTAGGTGAAAAGTGCAGGAGCTTTGCGGATGAATTTTTTCTTCATTGTTTTGGTTCTCCAACCCACATGTCTGCAACAGAAGTCCACAATATCAATTTGAAAATCAATACCTTGGAGCCTTCTTGGTTGAGACTTCATCTGTTAAATCGACTGTTAAACCAAACGTTGGGCTCTAAACTTACTGGCAACTTATCAAGTGTAGTAAGTTAACATACTAAATTACTTAATTTTTTTTTTTTAAATCCCTTTACTTTCCTTCCGAGTCTTGAATCAACTAAACTTCAAAGCAACAACTCCCAGTGGCTCTCTTGAAATGATCTCGAATTGAAAAAGTTTTAAAATTAGAAGTTGTTCTACCAAAGTTTTTCTGAATGCTATTTCTGGAAGTAGCAAAAATAATTTGCTCTTTTTTATTTAGTATTTTTTCTGATAAAACTCAAGTTGTTGAGTATTTTTCATGCGTAGTCGGTAGTGAGTCGCAAAAAACGGTGAAAATAATGTAAGTTTGACTATTGATTTTACCAAGGGATTTTGTGAAGATATATGTAGGGGATATAAAAGAATGAATTAGGAAAGAGACAAGTAAAGAGAGCAGTAGCAACTCCCCGATTTTGCTCAAAACATGATAGTGCCATTTGTATTCTCTGAAGCCAACTTCCAAGCTCAAAAAAAGCTATCAAAGGTTGTAATGGAAGGGATCTGGGAGATCCCCCTTGCTACGCTGAAAGTCTACGTCTTTATCCATTCAAATTTTCCGTGCATAGATTGAGAGCTAAGACAATACATCGTCGTGGTTCCAGCCTGGAAGTTACCAAATTAAGTGGCAACCCAGCCAATGTATTTGCTCCCTATCTATGCATAGAGACTTTGAATGGATCCCTTCCATCATGACTTTAACTTTGAGAGCTTTTATTGAGCTTGCAAGTTCATTTCTGAGAAAACCAGTGGCACCATCAAGTTTATCACAAAATTTTCAGCAAGGTAATGTATTATGTTATGAATCCCTGAAGCATGCAAGAGCGTAATTTTTTCTTTGAGCCCTATCTCATTATTTGCTTTTATTTGGGCCCCATTTGATCCAATCCTTCAAGCATCTAAAAATAGGTGAAAATCCTCCCCCTCCCCCCCCTTATTAACAAGGTTCTCCCATTAGTCAAAAATTATTTCATCATGACTTTTCTTTTGCATGGATAATCCTAAATTCAAGATGTAATAGGTTTGTGTGTAGGGATCACTTTCCTTTTATTAAATCTAACACTTTTTTCCTTTTTCAGATTGATGTGTTAAGAGCTTTTTCGTTTGAGGATAAAATATTTGAAGCGTATTCGGTAAGCACGAAGTCATTGACTCATTTTTCACTCCTACTTTAAGTTTTCCCATGCTTTTTAGATAAAATAAATATCTTTTCATCTCTTGTAGGATCTCATCATTAAACTTCAAAATTGTAAGTATCCTATCCATTTCAGTAACTCTCCAATGTCTGACAGAGAGTCATAACAATACAAGGTTCACTGTTAAAAACTATCAGAGTGTTATTAATTGGTTTCAAAACCATGCTGATGCTGTGTGTTTATGTAATATCAACATTTTAACCTCAATGATCAAATTCTAATTATGAGATTCAGTCAAAAAAGTAAAATGCACTGGAAACTCATCTTTAAAATACCTAATCAAGTGAAGATCCAAGCAGTATTTTTTTGCTTTCTTTCCTAAGTTTTTCTTCTGTTTATTTGCATCGAACCTAAAATCTTTACTAAATTAGCAGGAAGTTCTGTAAAACACACAACGCCAAGGTGACATGAGAATCAAATTTTTATTTAGAGCCAAAGCTGTTCGATCGTTATCATTATTAATGTTTAGGAAGTGCCACTACATCTAGCAATAAAAAACCACAAAGCAAAATGAAGAATAGAAGGCATAGCATAGTGTGAAAAAATCTAAAAAACGTGTACATGTACATGCAAAAACATGGTTTTGGATTTTTTCTTGCTCCGCTATACCTTCTATTCTTCATTTTGCTTCGTAGTTTTTTATTGTTTGATGTTGTGCCACTTCCTAAGCATTAATAATGATCACAAAGATTGGTGTTATGGTGATATTCATCACAATGTTCAAATATATTTATTTACCTTTCCTGTTCAGTCAGCAGAAGGCTGCAAAGCAAAAGCTTAATGCAGATCTATTTCTATCCAGTTACAAAGCACTGATGTCCATATTGGATACGCATAAATCCATATCGTCCCAACTCTAGTACTGATAGCCATTTTTAAGCTACTTTCCTCAATAAAAAGCTCTTCTATTCGTTCCATTAAAAGTTTACATCAAACCCATTAATTTTGCAAGTTGGTTCAGATCTCACAATTTGAAACAGCAGCAATAAATTGTTTTTGGGGATGAAAATTTTTCATACAGTTCCTCAATACTAGAATGGTTTAAGATATTGTAACTAGAAGGCCGAACAGTTCAATAGCAGGTATTAATTTATTTAGGCTGTCATGACTTCTTTAGTAAACTAGCTCGCAGATTAGAGAGAAAGAAACTGGTGTGTGCATCTTTAAAAAGTTTCTTAATAGTGGATGACCACATGTTAAATTTCTGAATTGGTGCAACGCTTACATTATTGATTATGATATTCCACAAGGTGACAGTATTTTTAATATATTCATACCTGATTGCCATTAAGGAGAATATATTGTCAGAATCCAGAGGCCAATTCTGCATTGCAAATCTAGTATGTACTTTTGTTAATTCACAGTCATGCAAACAAGAACAACCCTGTGGATCTCAACAACTGAAAGAAACAGTTAAAACACAACGAACTAAACTTAGGAGTCGAGGAGCGATAAATAAACCAAAAGATCCCGTTGGTAAGTATCACATTATCCTCAACAAATTCCTACATATTTTGCTGTTTCAACTTTGTAACACTCGTTGACATAAATAAAAAAGAGAGCACGATGCGGTCGAGTGAAAGAGAAGACAGACTGAGGCAGGGCCTCAGGGGAGCCGAAGGCTAGGACGAAATGAAAAGGAAAAACACTTGGTTGGGTCATAGCTGGACTGAAAAAACTGCGAACCTGACCTGACCGGACACTAAAAAGAGGAGATGAACACAAAAGTTTTGGCCTTTAAAGGCCAAAACTCCCAAAAGAAAATACTCACATCTTAGAGTGATGGATGACGCGACCATGCCGAATGAAAGCTAGAACGAGAATAAAAAAATGGAGTCACTTGTGGTGAGAGGCTGTGAGTAGTTGATGAACGTATCCCATTGGTCCGGACTGTTCCAGAATAATCCGGGTGGGAAAAGGTGGCAAATATGAATGTAACCTCGTTACAACTTGAATCGTCATAAGTGAATGCAAGAAAATAAAATTTCTGACATTGCACATTGTGTAGAAACAATTTTATAAAGGTGAGAAAATCAATTTCCAGGAGATTTCCATTCAAAACATTATTTCCAAACTGCTGATTGAATAATGAAGTATGCGAAATGTTTCATTGTTCTTTAGAATGTTGAAGTTCATGTAGCTTTGAAGATATTTTCATGAAGAAACAATGCAGGGCTGTTAGAAAGTAGAACCGATAAAAGATACTGTCTTGACGCACCTTCTCTTGTGACTGCATTTTAACATAGACTTAGAAATTTGAGTCAGTGGTTCCAGACAATAAACCAACCAGCTTGGTGTACCAATCACGAGATTATTTGTTTTTCCCCTTTTTTTTCCTATTTCGAGTGAGAATGTTGCCCCCCAAAAAATTTTGCACTATAAAAAATGTGCTTGAAAATGTCGGAAAAAAAACTATGTTCTGAAATTTCATAATTGGATGTGAATGTACTTTATTATTTAAAAGGAATGTTGCATCGCGCTGCCATGTTTTTGAAAGATGTTTCAACTGGCTGCTAAGTCTGAAGAAGGATCTCTTCGAGTTCAAATCCAATACCCTTTTTTTACAGGATTAAATATCTATCAAATAACAGTGTTCAGAAAAAATTGACAGTTCCTTTGACCGGAACCATATTTTTAGTAAGCAAAGTTGCGCTAAATTTTTAAAGAAAGTAGTTGTGGCATTAATAGAATTTAAATGACAAAGAAGCGCTCAGAATTTTTTTCCTTAATTACAGGTGAAACTGATCTGCACAAAGCATGCAAGAATAAGAAAGGGTCGATTTTTTATAACCGCCCATTAGAAAATCTGTTGGCTGTCCCCAGTGTAAATATCATGGTCTGTGATAACAATGGATGGATTCCGTTGCATGAGGCAGCCTATTCAGGCAATGTAGAAGGATGCCGCATGCTGTATGAGCATGCATCTACTTTTGGTAAGTCAAAACAATCACTACCCTAAGTTGCTCTCCAGAAAAATGGCCTGTAACTGCTTGGATGGTGTAGTCTATAGTAGGCCTGTGCGAATATTCGAGTTCAAATAATTTCTCCGATATTTGATTCGAACTCAAACTTAGAAACCTCGAATACTCAAATTATTTGACCACATTGACAAAACTTGGAATATCTAAAAAAAGACCGAATATACATACATTCGACCATAATGATGTCGTGCTCGTCTCTCTCCCTTCTTTTCTTTCCCCAGCAAATCAAAATGTATGCAAAACCATTTGATAATTCAATGTATTGATTAATTCTTGATCTTTTTATCTATACCTAATATTAATTTTTTTATTCAAAATTTATATGTCAGAAAGAAAAAAAATTATTTATTTATTTACAGTTCCAACGGGTCATAAAGAACCATTTGCGAAACATTATAACAAAACAAAGACACAACAAGATGGCAATAAGGTTAAAAAAAAACAATAGTACAATAATAAAGTAATGAATTATAAAAATTTGTCAAAAAGTGACATAACTAACAAAATAATCAATTGATTACCCAGAGAGATCAGACAGGAATATCCTCCTTGAGGCAGCTTTAAAATTACAGATTTTAGAATTAAAGAGATCAACTGGCATAGAGTTAAATTTTTAAAGTTAGTTTTAAGTAAAGTTAGTTGTTAAAGTTAGATTTATTCAATTTTTACTTCGATGAACATAGAGGTTGGTTTTGGTCAAAAATAGGTAAAAACTAGAAATATTCAATTCGAATTTGAAACTTTTTCTAAATGTTCAATTCAACTCGATTCGACATTAAAAAAATTCATATTCGCACAGCCCTAGTCTGTAGTATCCATGCTCGACACTGCTGGCCAGCATGTATAAACCATGTTCGGGACCCCAAATATGGAGTGCACTCTGCGCTCTCTGTGTTTCCATTCCTTCTATGTAGTCACATCAGTCATAAAAATTGTTTGGGCATTGACGCACAGATATGCTAGTTACCCTGCGTAAGCGTGATCCATCTAAAGCATGTACATATCATGTCTTGTATCACCCATAGAGATAGGTTCTTTTTATCCTATTGTATCATTGTCATATTATGATTAGCATCATTGTCATTCATATTTTGAGTATCATATCATTCTTTTTCATTTCCTTCTGTTTTTGTTCTTGTTAGTTATATTTCATTCATCAATTTATATTTCGCTTGTCGTTATTTTTACCTACTACAACATTTCTACTAAACATATAAAAATTCTAAGCAATAGCATGATTGAAAAATGAAGTATGAAGGGAAATATTGAAACTTTGCATTCAAGATTTGAGTTTTCTCCCCCCCTCTTAATTTCACAATTGATATTTGTACCAAATTCTCACTGAATTATCAAAACTTTACAGGCAAGTCCATTTACCCAAAAGTGTATTAAGTTTTTTCACGCGAAAGATGAAGCATGCGCAGGTTAAAAAATCAGTAAAACATTGAACAATCCGAATTTTGAATTTAAGTTTTTGGTTTCATTCCAGATCAAAAATTCCGTCTACTTTCATGCAGGAGTAATGAAGGCTCAACACCTCTACTGGAAGCTATCAGCAAAGACCACATTGAAGTGGCTGAGTTCCTTCTTAAAGTTGGAGGTAAGTTTGAAACACAAAATCATTTGGGAATGCTTGAACAAAGTGCATAACATGTGCAGTTCATAATTTGTGAATGACTCTGAAATAAACATTTTTGAACAAAAGACGTTTGAAAAATGTCACTTCCTCATCGGTAAAACTCTAGAATGGGATTGTTCCATGATTTTTTTTTTTTTAATTCAGTTTCTCAAACTTGGAGGTGTGCTGTTTGTTGAGGTTTTTTTCTCAATATTTTCTGATGATGAAAACATTGAGAAAAAGCCTCGAAAATTCAGAAGTGACTTGAAACAAGGCGCATTCCGGAGCCTCAAAATCATGTGATGCCTGACATCATAACGCTCTGTTTGTTTTTGCTATTGAAACTTAGTGCTAATATGAGTTTTTTAAAAAATCGGGGAAAATCTAGAAATCAGACTGAACCCACATTTTTTATCTCGATGGATACCTGAAGATATGGTGAATCATTTTCAAACCTACTTTTTTACTCGTCACGATTTCTAGGACAAAAATTGAATTAAAAATCTATTTTCTCCTATACTTTGAACAGAGTGAGGGAGCCATCTAGTGGTGAGCGGAGGGCGCTGTGTCTTAGTCGGCCCCGCTCGGGTTTTTCCGTTAGTATCCGCTCATCATTGTAGCCAATCAGAGCTCAAGATGAGCTTAACCTAACCAAACCTCCATAGGTTAAACACATGGTCAAGGTACGGGTAATGTTGGCTAGGAGAGACTCCCATGTGGTGTGACATGTAGCTTAACAAATTGTACCGGAGCCAATGAAAATCGTTCATTTGCAACTGGAATTTGATGGAACTCTCACAAGCTTTTTTGGGCTTTCGGACTTGAGTTTGGACTTTTTAAATGTTACCATCGTTTTTCTCGTGAACATATCTGTGGCTACATTTGTTTTATTCTCAGATCTCTCATCAATGCAACAACCCCTTTCTTCAGAATTTCTTTTATTTCTCATTGATACCATTGTATAGTCACCGAATGATTGCCTATAAAGCTGCATTCCCCCTTTAACTGAAAAGTGCTCCTTAATTCTACACAAAGGTTCTTTTTCAGAGGAATTTCTTTCCTTCCTTATATATTTTCTTTGACAAGAAGAAAAGGAATGAAGATATTCCTTCAATGATCTTGCAGTATTTTCTTTTGAGAGTAGAATATGAAATGTTAGCATCAAATATATTGGTTAGTACTCTTTACAGACATTAAATTGTTGCAACAGGCTCGAGCTGTTTTTGTATAGTAAGAAGTCATTCAACTATCCTTGCAGCTTATCCCTTCCATCACAAAATTTATTCTTTTGATCGAAATTCATATCTTTTTCTAGCTTGCCTTCATTTTGTTTAACCTTGTTACAGGATCATTCCTGCTGCAGCAAATTGATAATACAGGAAGGACAGCATTCGATGCTTGCAAGTCAGAAGGCATGCGAGAAGTACTGAAGAGGTACGAGAACACACCAGTGAGTAAATACCTAAGTGTGCCAAATCATATTTGGGTTATTCTGTTTGCCCTAATTTCCTCCTACTTTGAAACGTATGGCACTGAGGTCTGTTTCAAATACCGAAACCTCACCTTGTCGCCTGCCGATTTCAGCAATGTTAGTTTCCCCAATAAGAAGGGCCATCTCTCATTCATACTCAATTCTAGTCTTTATTCTAAAGATCTCTGTTTGATAGGCCAGCTGCAAAGCATAATTGAAATGCTGAAGGGAAATAATCCTGCAATCAAGGAATTGAAATTGCTGGAAATATACTTTCGTGAGGAATTATACATTTACATCTCGTGAAAATTTTAGTGGAAACTCCTCTATTTTAGTCGTATTTCCTATTTCAACTGGTGCACATCTGTATCTTCTAACAAGCAATTTATTTCTTAACTTTATTTCCATGCTTATACAGAGCTTCCTCTGTACCTCGCCATTAAGAAGCTTTACTTTTGATTTATGTCATTTTTTTATGATAAGGACAATTAAGACTGTTGTGTATTTTACTGTTTGTTAATTGCTAGAAATTAATTTTGTGAAATTCTAATTTGTACTATCCTGTGAAATCGATTTGCTCTTTATACCTCCCATCGATGAGAAATCAAGAAAACAGAGACTGCAATGTGGCCTTTCGTTTTTTATTTGTTTTTGTCGCATTCAAGTATGTACTCCTCAAAAGACCGTGTTGCCTTACCGGTGATCTCTGTAGCTTTTTATTTCTAGGTTTAGAGGAAAATTTTCTATCTGAACTATCTGAAATCAATTTTCAGTAAATGTGCCGGTGATCTCTCTTTTCAACATCTCATTCATTTTGTTGACTTCTGCATTTGCTTTAAAATTTGTGCATGTGTATAATCTGTTCATTTTAATGAGTCTTCCCCCTCCCCCCTGAAGTTTCTTTCGTTTTCAAGATTTATATTTTTTAATTGATGTTACCGCGCTTCAAAATATTCTTTTGAAGCTCTCTGTTTTTACTTCTATTTAATTTAAGTTAAGATAATAATTTAAGTAAATGCAGCAAATCTTGCACATATCTGATTAATCACCCCTTGGCTAATATGTGAGGGAGAGGGGGGGGGGGTGTAACTTGATTCAGAGCTCTTTTTTCAGCTGTCAACTTTTATTTTGTGCAGATTAATTTTGCCATGAGTGCCAACAATGTACTTTACATTCCTGAAATAGCTTACAAACAAGAGCTACATATTTCGTGAATCTTATTTTTGGAAATCATCAGTAAAAATAGGAGCACATTTGAAATGGCAGACAAAATGTGTAAGAAGAAGAAGGGTCCATACTTTTCCAAACTCGCTGTATCTTCATTTCTGACGTTAATGAGACAGCCATGTTTGGCTTACTTGGAACTGTATTCAATTTCTCTTTTTCTTTTTTGAACCCCTAGTTGTTAATGTAGCTTAGTTTTTTAAAAATAATTTCCATTGTGAGAGCTGTTGGGTTGTTTTTTTTTTCAGTATTTATTTTACTCGTTTACTAACTTATATACTCAGGTATTTTTATTTGTAAGTAATTCATTGCATCGTAGCTGGTAACAGGGTTACCAGTTTTTCGGCAACAAGTTTTGTACGTAGTTGGGGAGAAATTTTCAAGCTAACAAGGTACTGATAATCACAAAAGCTATAAACAATGGACTTTATTTGAGTGCAGGTGCCTTAAAGAATTAAAAAGTAACATTGTGTTCAATTTTTCCCATTAGATTTCTGAAAAGAAGTTTCATGATCAGAGTACAATTTCTTCTTCTTCAGCCTTTCTCTCTAGTGCTCTTTTTAAGCATCATTTTGATTCTCTTGCAAAATTTAACATATCTTTCTGCTCAACGAGCTCCCCTCTTCTTCTCAGGAACAACATTCTTCAACATTCCAGGAAATGAGCCAGTTGGAACATTACTAAATTTTATAACCATTACTTGCATTAACTATTTTCTAGTCCTTGGAAATTTTAAGTAATTTTCACTGTGCTTATGAATGGGATGGAACAAAAATAACTCATTTAATTATAAGTAAAAAATACTCATTATTCTAAGCTATTTGAGGTCATGTTACCAATTTAGTGCATATCACTCTTATCCCATCCCCCCTCTCCCCCTTAACGCGTGGTTCAAAGAATAAAAGAAGCTAAAAATACAAGGATGAGTAAAAGATGTATATTGAAGAGACAGAGTTCATGCTATAAGGTGGGAATATAGTCTAAGAAAAGAGTATATCCATGGAAATGGGTAACCCCCCATCCCCCAGTCCTACATTTTACCTGAGAGTAGCATTAAGTACATATTTCTTTTTACCAAATGATGAGTGTCTTGAACTTTCAGCTTTGGTCTTACGAGAGCCAACTGTGTTCGTAGTCGTTAAAATGTAGTTTGGCTAAGAATAAACTTTAAATTTTAGAAACTTGTTTTTTGTTCATTCTTTGTCGTTACTAGTGTCACTTAATTTGCTTTCAATTTATTCTTTCTTCACGTTGCAAATCTAAATTCCCATTGAAGGATCCCCATTTTAGGATCTTAGTGGCAGTAGGGAAGCTTTTTTTTTTTTACCTCGGAGCAAAATTTTTTGAAAATGTCATTATTTTTTCCACACAAAAGCATCAATTGTCATCGTAACTCTAGCCTCAGACCTTTTTTCATCTGCAGGTTTGTTCTCGCTAGCCTAAGTGAAACATCTTGTAGATCGATGAATTCGATGATGAAATATGCACAGTGAGCAGAGGTGTAGGAAATTGCTCCAAATAGATAAATCAATGAGATATTTGAGAGGAGAAAGAATGGGTTCCTGTAAAAAACTGGTGTTATTCTCGGTATGTTAAACATTTTTAGTCATAGCTTCTTAGTGCTGCATATCTAGCCAGAAATAAATAATCCCTAAAACATCAACTGATGATACTGTACCTTCATAAATATTGAGGGATCAACAAAAAACGTCATTTTCAACAGAGGACTTCAAAATAAGTATTAGCATTTATTAATGGTAAAAATTGAACTTTGCAAGCTGTATTGCCGAAACGAGCCTTGAGTTCAACCTGAAACTTTCACTGAAGGATCTCTCATCACAAGGTTTCATGAACGAGCCTTCTGTGGACAAAATCCCTGAGCTCCCCAAAAAAAGGGCACAAGCAGGCCCTTTTTTTACAGGCTCTCTCTGTAAAATCCAATTTCAAAAGTTTTCTGGAAAAAAATTGGTATTCAAAGGCCAATTTGACCTGTTTTCTTTTCGGTTGTTCCAAAAATTGGAAGTCTGAAATGATCAATGTTAATCTGAACGGCTATGTAATTATAATCTTTCTTTGACAAATTGATTCTTAAAATGCTAAATTTAAAAAAAAAAAATGAAAGTCAAAATTACTTCAGAATTTAGCATGAGGAATCGAATGCTATTGGTCTGGAGTCTTTCTGAGGCACCCTTGACTGGTTCTGACCATTCAGATTCATTTTGATATTTTTGCACCATCGCAATTAACCTTGAGCTGCAAAGTTCTAGATTAAAAAAAACTCGTGTATTGTGTGATTTTACAAAAAATCACCACTTTTTAAGCCAATTATTGCATACCCATATTCAAGGGGCCTGGAGGACAAGGCGCATAATTGCATTTTTTTAAAAAATTGTGATATCCACGACCTCAACTGAAACTAGTTTGAAAGTATATTCTATGAAAAATTCACCAGTAAAATCCAACTTTCACGCATCAAAAAGTGAGTTTAATCTTTCTCCTACCATAAGGCTCCATGTAATTTTGAAACTTTAAACACATATTTCTTGAAATAGCAAAAATTCCACTTATTCTGCGCCTTATCCTCCAAGCCTCTTATTTGACCTCCATCCCTAGAACTGATAATTTTACCCTTGTTATATTATTTTCGATTGATTGGCCCAGTTCAATAATCTTTTATGTCGTAAAATGCACCAATGGTGAAACTGTAGGGACAAGTATCTACCCCTGTTTCATTTCATTGAAGGAGAACAAATCAACGATATTACTTGAAGTTTTCATACATTCACTCCTCACATAAGGAAAAAAAAATTCTGGAAAGTTTTTGAGAAATGACAGTGAGTATTTTTCCACTCAAAAAATAAAGAATGACATGAGGCTTGCAACATCATCGTAGGAGATATGAGTTCTCAGTTTTAGACTCAGGAACTAAAAATAAAATTTCATCTCTCAGGCAAAGGAAATTCATTTTCCAAGAAAGTTCAATAATGATTCAGTGGTTGCGTATGTAGCCCGCAATAATTAGCCGAGAATTTGATACGAAACTTAGATATGTGATTCTTATTTTTTCCCTAAAATGTCTAAATTCAGATTTTACCAATTTTTTGCACTTTATGGCATACTGATAGTCCATTACAGGAATTTTCATTAATGTCATAAAATACCAAGAAATTTCATTTTATTTAGTTCCATGAAATTTTGCACCTCTTGAGTTTCACTGTCTTTTCTTTGTTTTACACCAGTGGAAAAATTTCATGAAATTTTTTATAAGTCTTGGGAGCGCATAAAACGTCTAAAAATTGTGGAAATGCAATTTTGAATTAAAAAAAAATTATCATGAGTTGAATTTCGGTGTTCTCGGTGAATTTTTACAGGCTGCGTGGACAGCCCCTGTTAATTCCCTGTAACTTCCCCATAACTTCCCCATCGAACAGAAACATGACGTTTCGATTTCTCCCCTGAGGGCCCAAAAATAATTATTCAGCAGCCATCGATATCGTATAACGTCCACGACTTCATCAAAGCCGATGGTCCCGAGAAATACGACCGAGGCTTCTTGAGAGTCCCGGAGCTCGTCCTACCTATGAGCCGTTAAAATTTTCCTCTGCCGAAACCCGGGATCGAACCAGGGACATTTAGATCTTCAGTCTAACGCTCTCCCAACTGAGCTATTTCGGCCGGTGAGGTAGTGCCGCGAAATCGAGCCATTTAAGGCAGCTCTCAGTGTTGCCACGTTTGTTGATTTTTTAGCGCTAGAAGTGAATACCTCGCTGCCAAATTTACCGTGAATTTGAGAAGGAGGTTTTCATCTCTCTCTTCGTACCTTTTGCTAATTACATGGAGAGTGACGGAATATATTTCCATGCTCTCCCTTCATCGTTGAAACCTCACTTTTACTATCGAGATGATAGGATTTTATACTTAAGAAGATACTTACCTAGTTCATTTTCTCCCCCCTCCTGCCTTCATGCCATCACTCGTCCGCAGAGATGCAACGTTTCTTAAAATTCTCTGAACTAAAATTTCAAAAGATTTCGCATAATTCTCTGAAATTACCCTCATTTTTTTCCCCCCGAAAATTGTTTAATAGACTCGGAGGAGTTCATTAAACGTTTTGAAAAGGGAAAAATTTTCTATTGAAATTTTGAAATCGCTTTCTGATGGTTCTTGTTGAATATTGTTTCTGTTTATTTGTTGCGGTTTACAAGGAACCTCAGGATAATTTTACGAAATTTTATGATACTTCCTCTGCTGAAAGAAATGACATGAAATTCAATTTTGAATTTCTGCTCGTTACGCAAGCCGAATTGCAAAAATCCCTCACTCCTCGACCCGCACAGTCCTCACGGAAAAAAATTAAAATTAATAACATTTCTCGGGAAAGTAGCATAGATGATGTATCTTTTTGTCTTCTTTTTTTGAAAACTTACTTTCTCCTTTCTACTCTCTGATCTAATCCTAACTTTTCTTTTCTACTTTTCTTTTTCTTTTATTTTCTTCTTTTTTTTTCTTAATGTCTCACCACTTGAGACTTACTTTACTGAGGTATACTTGAAATAAGGACACATCCCGATTGCGTCACTAGAGGACAACAGTTCAGTTTACAGCGTGGAGAATTGCCTACCTCCAAAATTGAAGGAAAATTATCGAGAGGAATCTTTATGTTTCAACAGTCGAACCCCAAGAATGACTATTATGTGAGGAAATTTTTCTCCAAGAAAAATGAGCAATTTCTACTCTGCAAGTCGATAATTTTACGAAATTTTATGATACTTCCTCTGCTGAAAGAAATTACAATGTATTCAAATGTGACAGAGTCGAATTTTTAACATCAGCCTTGGGTAAATATATCTAATCCCCAAGTAGCACAATGCAAAGAGGGTGAGAAAGGTAGGCAAATCGCAATGCAAAAATAAATTGCAACTCAATTCAATTTCTCTGCAATGAATCAGCAGCAACAATTTTACCATGCAATAATTGCAATTCATTGCAACCCGTGCTGCTTGTGTCTTAAACTATTTCTCATGCTTGAGTTGTTTTCCAAAACGCTCAGTGTAGGGTGTAGGTATAAATCTCATTAGTTGAATTAAATTCTTTGAAAAAAACGGTATTTCTTCAGGGAGGATACAGTCGGAAACGGGGTTCTTGCGGTCACTCTACCTTTTCGGAAAACAAACTTCACCCCACGAATCATCGAATTAATACCCACTGAGATATTCAATGGATCGGGTCCCGCGGAAGAAGAGCGTGGGGGGGAGGGGGCTGTTTATCACTCCATACTCTCCTTTGCCGAGGGTAGCCCGAGGGAGGAGAAGGCGTAGAGACTCAGGAACCGGGAAGATAAGAAAGGTTGCGTTCCAGAATTCATCGCGATGTAAATCGATTGAATCGGTTGTGCATCAAAGTGTTTCCGGGACCGATGAATAGTAGACGATTCATCGGTGCAGATCCATCAAAGCGTTTTTGGAATTCTGATTGATTCCATCGCTATGACGTAGAGTAGATCAACCGGATCAACCAGATCAATCGTACTCCGGAGTTCGATGAAGCCGATGTAGATGACGTCGCATGACGTAATTAACCTCCAAATATAAACTAAATAAGTAAATAATATTTCCTGACAATAGAAATTTTTCCATTATTCAGTATTCTCCTTTTCTATAAGATGTATTAGGTTTTTTTAGTTTATGTCGAATGGGAATAATATTGGGAGCCTGTGATAATTCGTGGTTTTCATCTATTGACTATGAAATTATGTATGTATCCAGGAAGTTTTGATCATCTGAAAGTGTTGTGTTGCCATGGTCATGATATTACCCGCGGACAGATTGGTACCAACAGATCAAAGGTCATTTCATTTTAATTTTATATTCTGCTGCAACTAGGCTCCAAGTTAATTGGCTGTAACATTGTGTAAGTGCAATATTTGAATACCTTCGTCCTTTGACAAAAGCAAAGTGCGCTAGTGGTTTTCCATCGGCACTATGAGCTATCAATTTGATACNACAAGATTCCAAACAAATCCTGCAGAATAATCGAAAAACTCAAATGACTGAATTGCCAGCTATTTCGCTACTAGCATGAAGCCCCAATCACTTAAAATTGAAGAAAACGAAAACAGATTGCTTCGCTGATAAGTGATAATAGTAAACAAAACAAACCCGTTCATCGAAAATTTCATCAA